TGTCTGACAACATTATGGAAAAGATCCCTACACAGGTGGACCTTTAAAATTCCATACTACTATCACTCACCACCAGACTCCATACACAAAAGCTCAATTTAGTTTACATTTCATTGTAACGTCATAACTTCAATCAAATGGTAAATGGACCTGTACTTGTATAGCATCTTTCTAGTCTTCAGACCACTCAAAGCGCTTTTACACTACGTGCCACGTTCACCCTTTCACACACATTCTCTCAGCAAAGTCCATCAAACAGAAATTAACTCATTCATACACATTCACACACCAATGCACGGCATCGGGAGCAATTCAGGGTTCAGGATCTTGCTCAAAGATACTTCGACACCTGGCAGGAGGAGCCGGGGATCGAACCAACAAAACAAAAATGACATGGATGAAAAAAACAACAGTTTCAGTCACTGTACTCAGCTGCACATGGAGGCCAGACTGGCTATGTAAACAAACCACAGAGAGGCTGCGGTAGCAACACAGGCAGAGAGAGTGTGACACCATGACTCCACTGTATCTTTACAGAGAGAATAGTTGTTTGCTGCTACATTAATGTTTTAAATTTCACATATATAACCTTTAAATACCAATTTAAAATTATTTTTGTTTTAAACAAGACCAGCTCTGACAGAAAGAATCAAGGCTCTTTGTTTTTATTCGTGTTATCGGTTTTTGCATTACATTCTATTTATTTAAAACTGATACTTTTATCCACAATGACTTACAATGAGTGCACTGCATTCAACCATGTGGATACAACCCAAAAACTGTAAGAATCATGCAAATACATCAGTTTCACCAAATATGCTGAATTGCCTCAAGTGCTACAGTTAAAAACAAGAAAAGAGAGAGATAAAGTGGTTGTGTTTTTTAACCTGTACCAGGAGCAGTCTGAATGAAGGAGTTTTCAGTTTGCGATGAAAGATGAATCTCTGCTGACCTCATATTGATGCGGAGCTCGTTCCACCATTGTGGATTTGCTGAGCAGATTGTATTGTTGAATGTATTGGACTTTTTATCTTAATGTCTGAAAGATTGTAAGGACGCTGCTGAGTACTGTATGTCTGGAGAGGAATGATCTTTAATGCAGTGACACTGAGTCCAAGAGAAAATTTCCCCGATGGGACAATTAATTTTTTTTTAATCTTAACTTGTATGAAACTGTTTACTGGAAGGAGCCAGAGGAACATGAACAGGCCACACATTATCTGTCCCACGTACTACAGTCAGAATTATAGACAGTTTCAGCAAATATGTTTTTATAAAAGTTACCTACTGCAGCTTTAATGAGCAAACTTCATCAGTTCACCTATGCTTGCTGCACACAGATTTGCCACCAAAATTACTAAACTATATCCAACACTGTGCATCACTCAGTATTAACTGAGGAAGTAATGTGTACCAGATGGCAGTTGAACACATCTATAGTGGGAACATCAGTCTGAATTACAGTATGGCTGTTTCAGGTCAGATCTGTGCTCTCTCTAAAAGTGCCAGAGAGCCACTGCAACAGCTGATGTCAGTGACGTAAACTGCACACACGCACTCATGTTTACCTACAGGGACAGTCTGCGTCATACCGAAGGAGACTAAAGACGAGGAAATGAAAGCAAACATATTTGGTGAATCCAGCTTTCTCTGGATATGGTGCCGCTCACTGCTGGGAGTGAATGTGCAGCATGTCGGTGGGGTGGGGATGTTTTTCTCTGTTGCAGTCTCATTTAGTGACTCAGGCTGATCAGGTGTATGTTTACATCAAAATGTGTCGTGTAGCTTCAGTCGTGGCTCAGATTTGGATTCATGTTAAACGTACAATGTGTAATTACTGCTGCTAGGGGTTCTCTCACATCAAAACAATAACAAAAGATAAAGTTTGATGACGTGGTGAATCATGGGAGATGTTGTCTTCACCACCATTGCTGAAAGAGTGATTTTTAAGGTGGAACTGCTTTATTCAGTGTGTTTAGTGGTTTTAATCAGCGGGTTTGTTTTGGAGAGGAGGAGACCTCTGTGGATAAGTGGGCTCCCGGTAGAAACCTCCTGAACCATGAACACTGAAGGAATCCTAACCAGGAGAAGCTGACTGCAATGACAGCAATGGTGGTGAAGACAACAACTCCCATGATCCCATGTTAACACACCAATCTTCGTCTTTTGTTATTGTTTTTATGTAAGAGAAATTACAAATGTCAATTAAAGGGGTCAATGAAAATAAGTCAATAAAAACATTCATAAATAATGAAGCTTGGACCTCAGATTGTTGTTCAGTATTAACTGTTTCCTCTGTAGCCCCGCTGTCTAAAACTGGCAGGATGTTTTGGGATGAAATCAACCACCTAAAGGAATGCTAATGGTCCCGTAGCTGACTCACTTCACTATAATAGACTGGTTAACGCTGGTTAAGGGATATGTACCACTGTTTATATATGGATTGTATTTACTTATGGATCAGCGGAGTTTAAACCGACACGGCCTACAAGGATAAACAACTGTGTTAATGAGTGATAAACATCTCTTCAGTGAGAGCTGAGAACTAATGATCACAGCTACCATTAAATGGCAAATGTAGTTCTCCTGGATCTTCAGTACTTCCACTGTCCCCCCTGTGGTCCAGGAGAGGGATCCAATGTGTCGCCAGCAAAATGAGGAACATTTCTTTTTACGTTATTTACTTTAAATTAGGTTTCCTTTTGAAGAGTACAGATAAACAAAAGTAATACAAATGTGCTAACCGGAAAACAAAAAGAGGAACACTTTAAAAGTCACTATAGTCAGATTGAGTAGAATACAACGGGCGTTAGTATTCAGACCTCCCCACTGTTACCACCTCACCATGCAGACCATATCAGACGGGGTACTAAAATCAACTAAACTCGGAGAGCCCGGGCAGCTCACCTGGAGAGCCCGGCCTCTGGCCCTTTGCTGCGTGTCATCTCCTCTCTGCCCCCCCTTTCCTGTCACTCTTCAGCTTTAGACGTAGAAGGAGTAGAGCAACTATTTAAGGATTTTAATGTGGAAATTAAACATATCAGACACACATTAATGTTCCAAGCAGACCATTTGTATATGTCTCAACACATGTCGAGGGGATCTTTAAGATAAACAAGCATGAATTTTGCTGTTATCTAATAATGGTTGAAGATAGATGCCATCCTGTTGCCAAGCAACAGGCATCAAGCAGCGCCTGGAAACTGTAAACTTTTCCTGTTAGATTCCTTAACAAGTGCTACACAGAGCTGTTACTAGGCAAAACAGCAGCACAAAGGTGCGTGGTCATCCGGTTGTGAGGGACTTGTTACATAGTCTACAAGACCTGAGTTTTTGACTGAGATTTGATAAATCACATTGCTGCTTTCTCTACATTTCTATCTAATGGTTTTAATATTTATTAGGCCTTCTCTGGCCTCTTGGCAAGGAGTAAGCAAAAGGGAATGTCTGGCTTCAGGACAAAGCAGCAAAAGCAGTACAGAATATGACATAAAGCTGCAGTAGGTAAAGTTTAATGACTTCTGTCATATTCACTGAAACGTTCACTACATCCTGACAGTAGAACATGAGACAGATAATCTGTGGAACAATCAGGTTAGTTGATTGTTGAGTCTCATTCCCAGGTTGTCAAAGGTCCAAGGTCATTTGGGTCTCAAAGCATCAGTATCTGATAAATGGGAATGAGACTCAATAAACTCTCTCTCAGCTCTGATTGGTTGTTGTTGTTCATGCCCGGTGGATTCTTGTAAATGCCATTAGGAGCGCCTTTTTTAAGTTTCAGCAAATATTACCAAAAATATTTTTATAAAAGTTAAGTACTCCGGCTTTTTTTCTGTGACTTTCAGCATATTCTGTGTGACAGGCTACAAGTAGTGCTTAAAAACATCATTCTCTGGACATAATGCATGTCATTGACGTGAAAAAAGTTTAGACTTTAATTATAAAAGTGCTATGTTGTCTATTGGATTCATTGTAAAGAGGCTCTTAAAGTTTACCATAGGCTTAGAAATATACAGTCAAAAAGAAAACATTTTATAAATCAATTTCGGCCTGAAGTTGTCTCTGTGCTAGTCAGACTTCTGGAACATGTTTCTTGGGCCCGCCGCATTGAGGACATAAATACTTCACATCCAGTAGGATATTATGCAGGTGCATGCTAAATTCAGTGGGGGGGAAACGACTAGAAGCCTGCGTACAATCCTTTGGGCTTCCATCCATCCTTTGAAGTCTCCAAAACAGTATTTGCAAGAGAGGGGATGCTAGGGTGAAGCTGTGCTCTATGAATAATTAATCATTTACCGGCATAATACAAGTCATCCTCGTTGGCATCGGGAGTGCGACAAAATACAGACTTTGCTGTCCGAATACGGTGTCCGTTTGTGTAAGGGCAGCTCAAGTTTCCTCAAAATGATTGAATCATCTAGGTGAAGGTCGATTAGAGAGGAGCGTTATGTTGTTTGGAACGGGACAGGATAGCGCCGATGCGTCCGTTTCTCTCCTTTGAACAAGATGTTCCTGTGTACCAAACTCCGTATGAAATTCGGCTCATTTTATGTGGCATTGATTTCAGTTCAAGGTTCCTGCTAGATAAACATGACTCAATGTCTTTTATGAAACACTGATAGACACTCTTAAATTCCGCGCGGATGTGGTCAGCCCAGCAGGATGTAGTTTAGTTGATTTATTTACATTTACATTGGTTCGCAATGTTTAATTGCCGCGGAATAGTTTACTGGAGGAAGACAGCGGGAATCAGGAGGACCAGTTAAAAAAGTCGACATTTTACCAAAACGCTGCTGATTCGTGGACATAACTTCACGCCGAATAGAAAAGTGGATCCTAATAGTTAAAACAAAGAGTTCTACCAAACTATAAGCGCCAAGTTAATACGCACAGCATGGACACACTGTTGGAATGTACTTTTCCATATCTGAGTTTTGTATGAATAGTTATTACAAACAAGCGACACGGCAGAGGGAAGTTGGGGACAGCTATCCTACCGTTGTGTCGGGGCTCCTGCTGTAATGACACCGTTCCGTCCCGGTGCAGGTGGATGAAGGACGGGTCCTTCACCCGGCTGACTCTCCCAGCCGGCGGGCGGGGCACCCTCAGCCCGCTGCAGCACTGGTAGCACACCGCCCATGCCTGCTCCTCGTTGATGGGCTGCTCGTAGGACTTCAGCACCTCCTCCAGAGACAGTTCCCGGGGCTCGGCCAGGTCCCGCGCCTCCCCGCGGTCCGTGGGGGCGCTTACCCGTGAATCCCCGTCCTCGGCGGTTCTGTTGGTGGATCTGGCCATGGCTGCGATACCGTAGAGCCCATCCTTCACTCGGGAGACACCGAGGCCATTTATGCTGTCCGCTGACTCCTCTTCGGCCCAGTCTCCCGTCCTCCTCTTGACGTCTACCGCTCCTCAACTAGCGCAGCTGCACCTCGTTACCACAACACCGTCAAATTGGCGCTAATGAAGGCAGCACTTCCGGTACGAGCTTTGAAAAATAAAACTACTTATAAGAAACACGTACTCTATACGCCATCCTCCTTTCTTAACATGAAAGTTACACTACACTGGTGCTATAATAAACTTCTGTTTCAAGCTGAACTTTGTGTTTCATTACCAGTACTGTTTAACTCACACACGTGTTGTAACACAAGAACGAATAAACGTAGTTATTTAATATTAAGTTATTACCTTAATATTAGTACAGGTCTATAACCGCGCCTGTATAGACCCTTTTCACAGCAGCCCTTTTGACATGTGGTCCCAGTGGTAACCCTTCAGTGGCTCCGTTCCATTTAGTGTAGCAGAGCCTTTCCAGTGAGCTAACAAGCACACAACCTTTGTTTACGGATGCAATTATAGTGCATGTTTTAAATTAGCTGTTGATTTATAATTGTATTACTTTTATGTGGGTTGCAATATTACTGAGAAGCCTCACTATTTATATTCTTTTTCAGTTCCCTGCAACTATTTACAATGGTCAAAACTTAGGCGCATATAATGACTTGAGTAAACCTTTTGTACTTTTATTTTGAAAAGTGAAGCCGCAACGCTTTTTATCACGGTCTGGCTAATTGTGGCTGACTTGACTTAGCTTGTTGCCATATCAGCAAATGAGAAAGACCATTGGATCTGCAGGAAAGTGTCAATCAGCGGCCGGAGAGGCAGACACCGTCCTCCAGCCGGCTGTCGCATTATCCAGCTGTTAATAGCCCCGGGGGGGGATATTTAACTAAATGAATCAGCTGTAACTATGTGCTGACATCTTATATTATCACTGTTATAAGGGGATATGGGAAGTGGAAGATAAATGTTTGACCGCAGGTGTCCCACTTCTGTCCTTCTCTTCTCTCGCCCCTATAAAGTACAACTTCCGTGTACATTTCAAAATAAAGTCGCTTTTCCTGAACCACCACGCTGCGACTTCAGAATAATTAAATATGTGTACATTTCAGACGCTTGATATAATTTACCACCATAGTTACCAAACAGTTTATATAAACGCTTATTTCTGGAGGATGTATTAGCAGTCACCACAAGTGGGGACCTTGAACGCAACAGTGGCAGGTTTCATTGTTTCATTGTAGGCAAACAAATGGAAAGTAAAGATAGAATTATTCTGTGTTACATACACAGGATGAACACAGCATCTATCCTGTGTGTGAGTAAACGGGAGGGCGGGACGGTGAGGATGTAAATTGATGTACATTTGTCGTATTTTCTTTTATTAATATGCATGTTTTTATTCCTCCATCATTTCTGACTATTTTTTGATGTGATTCGATGTGCATATTTCTTTATTTGCAATGCTTTAAGTTGTGTCATTTTTCTTAAGGAAATAAAAAGTATGATTAATAAAAAAATACTTACTTAAGTACTTAAGTGCACATACATATACACATATATGTATATGTATGTATATATGTGTATAATCTTGTAGTATAAAACATTTTCTTACAGCATGCTTCCACAATGAATATTGGTTTGTTAGCTCTTTCTATCCAGAATATCTGTACAACAAATATTAAGTGATGTTCAAATTCTAGTTCATATAATTTATTACTCAGCCAACAGATGGCGCCCAAACATAAATGATGTAGTGCTGTGAAAATCATGTCTTCTTATTGCAATCATTGATAAAGTGGTTTGTAGCCAGCTTTAATTCAAAGGACACAGAATTAAAATAGTTAATAAGTAAATTATTTATTGCAGTTATTAGTACCATATGGTTTCTGTTCAGAAGTTTTCTTCAGATAAATACAAGAACAAACTGGCAGGTCTGTCAGCTTAATCTTCTGTAAGGCACCGACATTGTCAACTGGCTCTTCATACAAACTAAAACACAATAGAAAGGCAAGACACATGGTTAAACATAAGAGTTTCACATTTGTCACATTGCATAGAGACACATTAACTCATGAAATCAGTGGCAACTTTCACCAAAACATTTGATTCATCCCACAGTGACACACACATTATCCCTCCACTTATAAATAGGCCATCGACATTCAAATATTGTCAGTTTATCTACACATAGCAGTTTGGACTGCTCAGAAAAGAATTTCCTTTTTTTCCCCAATGCATTCCATTGTCCATGTGTTTTGTTGCCTCCTTCACAGACTCGACATTTCCTTGAGCTCCGTAATACAGAGTTTACAACATTGTAAATTAGGGATGCACCGATTTATTGGCAGATATTCGCCTCAGCTAATGAGATGGCATTTATCGATATCAGCGGCTGATGTTAATCTGCTGTGTCGCATTAATTCTGAGCTGGATAACTGGTGCGTTGGTTATTTCAAACTTATATTGGAGAAATAATCACCTCCAGCACAAACTGCATGCAAGTACCGATGTGCAGCGGCACGGACAGCGAGCGGCTGTTCTGCTCTGCGTCTCACATGTTGGACTAGAAGATAAAGACTGAGCTGCAACAAGGCAAAGATGCTTATCTTTGTAGATTTTGCAGCTGAAAGAATAGACTGATTTGAAGCCCTAGACTGCATAACCATACAACAATACTGTAACTTAATGGGAAAAAACTTAAAGATAGGAAAACAACCAAAACTACATTCAAAAAGTACGACATCTGTAAGTGAAATCTATTTCAGCCCTGAAAAACATCATTACCAACAATGGGCAATTCAAACAGATCAGAGTTGAGCTCAACCTTTTGTGAAAATGCTGATGTGATTCATTTTTTCATATTTTACTGCTGATGAGCAAAAGGGAAAAACCTTCTTATGATGATTTATATCTAACAATAAAGTTGATAAAGTTCTGTTCAACCCTCGACAGAAACTGATTAACGCATAGGGTGGAATACCAGCATGCAATACAACACTCTACACTGGGAAATCCATTCCTGCACGCGCACACACACACACACACACACTCTCTCTCTCTCTCCTTCATAGAACACAGTGTACTCAGTGAACACTCTGTTCCATATGCTCCGTGTGTGTCAGGCAGACACAGAGCACAGCAGCAGACTCCCATCTTCAACTCCTACCCTTTCAACACAGCACACATACTGTATTATGTTGAATTGTAATCTATTATGTAACTTTAGCAGGCACTTTTCATCCCAGTAAGAATGTCTTATCCGATACATTGTGTGTCAGAAAGTGCAAACTGAGCAAATTCAAGCTAGCCGAGGAGCTGGTGCAAAAATGCTTTCATTACAAAGATTCTGGTGAAGCCAAACAACAGCCAAGACTTTAAAATGTCAAACAGCAACGTCACACACTAATGCTCAGGGCATTCTGTGGTGAGCTGCTTTTATGGCGCTGTGTTGATGTGATCTCTGTAGAATTTTCCTTTAAATGCTCAATAGTCATCTCTTGAGAAATCATCAGTCTCTGTTGAAGTCTTGTTTTCTTAATGCTAGCTACATCATGTGCACCAGGGCAGAAAGCTAATCCAGCCATGTATGCATAGTAAGTTCAGCTTGAAAGATTAAGTCTACAGAAAGCTGTAAAAATGCATATAGAAAAGTATCTGCAAGCGGCGATTCAGGTTCTAACCTTTGATGGTCTACAGAAGCAATTAGTTCTAATGAACCTTCACTGGACACGGAAAAATGAGATATTGTTTCAATCAGAACTCTTCTGTTGACATTTTTTCTATAGGAAGCAGACTGATCAATATCATAACAGAAAGCAGAATCTAAATAATAACTGTAGTTCATTTGGCCCTGAAGATGTAAATCAACATGATTCAGCATTCTACAATTGACTAAATGCTTTGATCTTTAATTAGTCAATCGCAGTCTACTCAAATCAATAGTCGGTGTAATCAGTTATTAATCAACCAATAAAAAATGAACCATTCCTGTAAAGGAACATAAATAAATGATGTATTCTAGGAAGCAGATTACAGTTTAAATAAACATCTTAATGCAGAGCATTAACATCCTGTCTCAGTGACATCCCTGGCCTCTCCTCGGCTGTGGGAGTGCCATCACTGATTAACAGTCTCCTGTTGGGACAGATCAAACCTTCAGGGGACATTGGCATGATGCCCAGTGTCACAAACTGGCTCAGGCAATGTGACAGGGAGGGAGTTACCCCGACGAACAATGGAGTGTGTGGATCAGAAAGGTCAGTAGTGTATGGTTGGAGGTTATTGTGCTATTGAGGTGCTGAAGGTGCAAACCAAAGATAATGATGCAGGGTGGACGTAAGAGGTACTGAGGGGCACATGCTGCCTTTCATTGGTTGTTCATCCTGCCTTCATTGACTTCCCCTCTGCACTTTGGTCAATGCCTGGTGTTAAATGTGTACTATAAATAAACCTGACAATGGTGGTAATGTGAGTAAAACTCTGCACATTAATCAACGTTTCTGTACAGAATTTGATGTAAATGTTCTGGAGTTAGCTAATGAGCTCGTTTTCATCCGTATGAAAATTACAGATTGTTTTTCAGTTTCAGTGTTTAGAATGTCTCATCGGTCTGTATAGGCAGGCTTACATGTGTACAGGTTCATGATTTGTAAAAAGCAGTATAGCGCTAATCCTAAAAATGGTGGTCGATCCATTAAGGTGTAAAGTGTTTGGGCTGAAAGTGTAAGGCAAGTTCCATTTAAATCCCCCGCTCCTCCCCTGCACACTTTCCCTCCTCTCTTCAATGCACATGGGCCAGCTTTTATCACCTAGGTTAGCTGAATCAGCTGACGACTACCATGTCAACCTGCTGATGCTGTCCAGGACAGCCTCCTTCACATGGGGAGGGGTGTCACACTATATACAATGTGGATTCAAATGGACTCTGCTGTGATGGAATCTGACTGACAGACAATTTGCAGCCATTGCTGAATTACATGAGCACAGCACTGCTGAATACGTGGTGGCCACCACCACTACCAGAATAACATGGGCTCACACGATTAACAACTTAACTGTGCACAATAATTACCTTTCAGCTTCCATGTTTCCAACCAAATTATTTGCATGTGTGGCCAAGCAAATTAAATACACAAAAACGCTGCAATGCAAACTAACCCAAACTGTGAAACCTTTTGGAAAGGGTTTGTTAAGACTGGATTGTGCAAGTCTGGGTCGTACCACTGTTGTGAAATTGATCTTGTGTTTAACACCCGAGCCATGACCTGACTGCTGACATGAAGCTGTTTATAAAGAGGCTTCAGGGAACAAAGAATAATGTCACCAAATCTTGGTGAATCTGGTACTGTTTTCCAGTTTAGTTCCAAATGTATGGCATACATTATCATACCTTGCAAAAGCCCCTTTACCGCTGTACAAAATGTATTGTCATACAATACTGCTGTGCTGTCATTTCACATTTTAATCCTCTTGCTCCACTGATAGTGTGTATTCGTCATAAATCAATGCTTTAACCTTGGACATCATGCCAGTGTTCCCTCAGTTGATGAATCTTATCAAGTCTTATACAATCAGTGAAGCCTCTAAAGAAGTCGTTTTGTGGTGTTAATGTCTTTCATGTTTTAGCTGTTACCCGGATCCTCTGTTTTAGCTGGCAACCAGCTGAACTGATATGGTTCCCGTGGCACTAGTAGATCTATGTCAAGTCTCTTCTGTTCTTTTTCACTGTTAACAGTCCTGTACCCTAGCAATGACATGGCCCCTTTACACACTTCCTGGATACGTTTAACCTTGCTGTGGGGCAGCGTGCTACGCCAAGCCTGAGACACGTCAGCAGCGTTTCGTGAGGTAATTTCGAAGGCCTGTTTCCTGGTGCCTTTGCCTTTTCCGTGGGTCACCCTGTAGATCCATTCCTCCAGCTGTCTGGTCATCTTCAGACCTACAAACTCATACATGGCATTTATCTCTGCAAGCGGGTTGCGCGCCATGTCCTCATAGCGGACCATTTTGTAGCGGCCTTTTAGAAATGGTGGGGGCTTCAGGATGGCCCTCTCGTTGATGCGCACATGGCTACGGCAGATCTCCTGCATGACTTGATACTGCACCTCGGCTGCTGGTATGCTTTTCTGCTCCAAGACGATGGCGTTGTCATTCATAAAGGCTTTGGCTGACTCCTCTCTAGACCGCACCACAGCCCGAGGGTCTCGGACCAGGTGGATGATGCGGAGATCTAGGCTTGGGTCCTGCAGGAGTGGGTAGAGAGATTCCAGCTCAAAAAATCGCACTTCTTTTAACACCACGTGGCTGTAAGTGCCACATGCCTCCTGAACCCCCTGAAGGCCCCTAGCATCACATGTCTGGTGGCACCGAGTCTGATTGCTGAACTGGTTGCGTGGAGTGAGAGGACAGGCCGGCGGTGAGCACAGCGCTCGACTCTGACTCCACATAAACAGGGCGGACACATTGTGGTGCTCTGGCAGGTAGGCTTCCATCACAGAGAGGTCGCACTGGAATACGCTCCGTAACAGATCCCTGACGGCCATTCGGAGCACCCGCGCACCGGGTTTCTGCAGCTTGGTCCACACATGCCAAGCGGGCTCCATAAGATAGAACACAGATGGATGCTGACTGAACACCTGGCCCAGGAAGGACGAGCCCGACCGCCACGACGACAGCAGCAGAACGTGAACTTTGCCATTGCTGGGGGCGGGGCTGCAGGGACTGAGCTGGACATACCAGCCACAGAACAGCACCACTGCTGCCCCCTGCAGGATCACTAGGAAAATCATGGTGCTGAGGTTCACTCTGCAGCGGGGCATGGCGGCTGTGGATCACTGTGCTTGATGTGGATCTTTCTCTTTTTTGTCCTCTGTGGAGCTGTGTGTTGCCTCTAGTGCAGAAAAAACATGAAAGAGAGAAGAAGAGAGTTGAATTGAAGGTGAGAGAAAAAGAGCCAGAGAGAGAAACTAATAAGTTAAACAGGAAATGCATGTTTCTGCAATGTTCGATTTTCATTGCAAATCAGCTAGCAACTTAATTTGAATAACAGGAAATGAAATTTAAATACCCTAATGAAATTTCTTGTTTAGCCAAAAAGCAATATAAGCAATGTCTCTAGTTAGCCTAACAGTAAGGTTTGTACAGCTAGATTGCTTAAAACTGTGTGTGGAGATGGATTTAGTGAACTGACACAGGGCTGGGTTGACATCAGTGCCCAGCTGGCAGTGTGGACATAGCAGCATAGTGATGAATTAATAGTTAATCATGATTAGAATTCATTTTTCTATGTTTCACTTGTAACTGCGCAAGTTAAAATCTCATTGTGTGTTGCATGGGTCACGGGTCAGGTTGGGTCGGATCTAGATATGACCTAGAGCCTAAATGAAGGGCAACTTAAACAGTTGGTGTGAGAGAGAGAGAGAGAGAGAGAGAGAGAGAGAGAGAGAGAGAGAGAGAGAGAGAGAGAGACAGAGTCGGATCTAGATTTAACCGAGAGATAATTGGCCTGAATGAACTTAAACAGCAGTTCATGTGGAGGAATAGTTTGCTTTAATGTTTGAACTAGCCAGTTTGGAATAAGCTGGAAGTTGGAGCACAGCCTGAAACAAGGAGTAAAGTTTAAAATGGACAAAAGACACAGGTCAACAGAATCTGAAGAACTTTTAAGGAGATGAGTGGGTTTGATATTTAATGGGAATTTTAAAATGCTTATCTCTATTGTAGTATAGAGGCCATGGAGATATAGAAGACTCAAAATTAAATTTTTACCAGAGAAAGTCAATACAAGCACCATCCCGCTGATCTTTTCTTCAGATGTCATCACACTCACACAGCCACACACACAATCACCATAGGGAGAAAACTACTGGTACATTTTTTTAAGTAAGAATGGTCCGTCTCTGAATACAGACAATACCTGACCCCTGACATTGTATATCAGTTTCAGATCGCAAAATTCCACTTCAGACGTGAATGTCAGTAAGGGCACAGTTTGCAGGAAGCACTAGTTAGATGAGGGAAGGAAAGAATATGTAGGACAAAGGGAGAGGTGACTAAGCATCCTACAATAAGATTCTCATGGTCATTCAATCCAGGCTTAACAGAGATAAACTTCTACCATTGGGAAGCTGGAATATCTACATGATTAGTTTCATTTACTTTTGTGCTATTTTCAAAAATACAGGAGAAAACACTCGAGTGACACAGAAATTCTTTTAAGGTTAGATCAGTGTCAGGGACACTCTTATACAGTGTTCTATCCCAGCCTCTAAATGTCTTCTCAAAACAGAGAAGAAAAAAAGAGGGAAAAGAGGAAACAGACACATTGTTGTGGACTGTCCAAGCTTTCTAGTGGGAGACCAAGATCCCGGCTGACTGACGTGATCGCTGCTGACTGAGGTGATCCATGCAAGCGTACCGTAATCTGTTGTGCTTATTGAACAAGCCCTGACACGAGTTCCTCACCTTCAGACCCTCAGGATACAAAGGTAAACAGCAGACATCATGACAGATCCTTCTTCCTCTCTCCCTTTCATTCAGCCTTGGTTCTTATCTACAGCTGGTATTGTTCATACCTAGTTTTCATTTATAGATTTACTTAGAACCCTTATTGTTGTGATAGTACGCCAGCCATAAAGGCTTATCTTATCAGATACTCCCATCTCCAAACCATTGTCACTCATACATTGGCCACTTAACTGGAATACACTACAAGAATCCACCCTTGTTAAAACTTCCCAAATCCCTTTGACACTACTAATTATATTAATACAGCTTTGACATTTGGAAACAAAGACTTTATGTGGGTGTCTTTAGCCTCTACTCGATGCCTTAAAATACATCTTAAGGTTACAAATTATTTTACATTAGATTCAGTGACGTTACTGCATTTCCAAACAACTTACAAAAAGGCAGGCATCTGGCCCAAAGCAGGACAGTGCCAGTCCTCCTGAGTTGCCACATATTATAAACTGTGAGTGTGATTCATTGGGACTGGGCACAGGTAATGGGCAGTTTGAAATAACTTTCTATTTCCTTGAAATCTAGACCATGTTAGATTGTTCAACAGTCAGACAACCCTGGATTAATGTTGCATAGCAGAGCACTGCAGAACTAAACCCATTGAATCAGCTCCAAAAGCAACATGAGACTCAAACAGGAAAGAGCTCACCATGCTCACTAATGGAGATGCTGTTAAAGGTTACGGCCCACCAGACTCCACTGACAAAACCAGTAATTTTACCTTGCAGATTATCCTGAAACGCATTTCAAACTGGATTGAAACAAAGTAACAAACCTGTCTTTGTAAGTCTTTCCAACAATCACCAAACACCGGTTTGGTTGAAATAAACCCTTAATTCACTGAGTTATATTTGAAATGGGCTGCAATTGCTGCAACGTACCATGTTGTTTTTTGCCACGGACAAGCTCAGATTGTTGTTCTAGGTTTCAGACAACATTATGGATAACAGAAGTTATCTTAGGACACTTTTCAAATAGAGCAGGTCTAGACCGAACTCCTTATAACATTATTTACAGAGACCCAACAGTACCACCATGGGCAAGCACTTGGAGACAGCGGCAAGGAAAAACTCCTTTTAAGAGGCAGAAACCTACGACAGACCCTCTAGTTGGGTGGTCGTCTGCCTCGACCAGTTGGGGTGAGAGAGAAAGAGAGAGAGAGAGAGAGAGAGAGAGAGAGAGAGAGAGAGAGAGAGAGGGAGAGACAGAAAGAGAGAGTGAACAAAGGTAACAACAGAAGGACAGAGACAAAGGTGCACAGCAGCAACAGTAGCAACAACTACACTAATAGTAGTGACTGAGTGACTGATGGTGATGGTGATGATCAACAAAAGATCATTTTTGCAGCACAAATTCTCACAAAAAAACTATTAAGTTTTAATAAGTAATATGAATATAATGTTGTAAATAATGTATAATAATGTTATAAGGAGTCTAGACCTGCTCTATGTGAAAAGTGTCCTGAGATAACTTCTGTTAGGAATTGGCGCTATACAAATAAAATTGAATTGAACTGAATTGTATATAAACATTAGCATGATTGGAGTCACGAACATCTTAAGGCCCGGACACACCAACCCAATTATCGGCCGTCTGACGTTGTCGGACAGTCGGGTGAGGTCGGTGACTCGAGTCGGTTCGGTGTGTCCCGTGCCGTCGTCAGTCGGCGTCGGCGTTCATTTTGGCCGATTCGACATGCAGAATCGGCCAGTGGCCGTCGGCCTCAATGACCAATCTGATTGGTGGAGTGCTAGCCCTTGACTAGCTAATCACGAGAAAACCGGAAGTGACGATGGTAAACATACTACGCCAACGCCAGTATCTTGACTACTATCAACACTCTCTGATGAAAACAATGACTGATGACAGCTTGCTCTGTGTTTACTAGGTCTCGAGTGATCTGTCATTTCTGTTTTTTTTGGGCGACAACACAGATTGGTGCCGCCTGCTGTTATGGGGACGTATTACGCCTCGTACACGGGCAGAACGTACGCTCCAGTCGGCGTCGGTTTGGTGTGTTCGGAGGCACTTTTTTTACCGACTCGGGGAGACGGGAGCCAACTGATCAGTCCGACTGCTTTTCTGCCGACGGTCAGCTGTCGGTTTGGTGTGTCCTGGGCTTTAAACTGCCTGTGGTATGCAAATGTATCCTCTGATCCTCTACACTCATTTGAAATGCAAACAAACTGTGAAATCTCTGGTGTGACAGAGAATTCAGAAGAGTACAGGAATGGTGTATTTGGGCTTTTTTAAGAGACCAGATGAAGACATTAAAACCCCCATACAGGTAGATGGTAGTTTCTAAAAGGGTTTGCAGTGTCCTGACAATTCCCAGGCATTAATAGTAATAGAGTATTTCTGGTGCCTATCAACTGAAACAATATCCAGCTGGTAACATTGTTGTTCGGTATTCCAATAGACGATTTACTTGAGGCAAATATTCACCCTTTAATCTTGTTTACAACGGTGGTATGAGCTTAAAATAAACGATTTTGCTGTGATTTAATGTCAATAAATGGATCAAAAGGATGCGTAAACAACTACATTTGCGATTTGTAAAAAGTCTGAATTCATACTTTGTCGGGTCTGTAAGACGACGAGCAAATAACCTTCAAAATGCTTGTTTTCTGAACAGAGTTTGGATCAATCAGGGCTATGCTAACTTAGTTCATAGTAAAGTAAAACCGACAGTCAAGTGACAGACACATAGTTTCAGCAATCATCAGGTAGTCAACTTTCCTCTTTTACTTTTCTCCGAATCTCCTTTTCTGTCCGGCTTCTGTATAAATATGAAATAGCATCATAGAGCTCTGGGCGCACACAGACAGATACAAGTGGGGGGAGGGGGCACCTCGGTGGCTCACAGCAGACAGGTTGAAAAGAGAGAGTGAAGATAAATCCACTTTTTAATCCCAAACTCTGAGCTCTCCTCTTGCTAGCAAACGTCTCCAGATCAGAGCAGATCAGTGTGACTACGGGTGTTTATTCCCGCAGAGCTCCCCGGGCTCAAGCAGCTGTCTGTGGGCCAGCAGCAGCTCTGTCTCTCCGCTCCTTCCCATACACTATAAACACGCCCTGATATGTGCAAATTCACTGCTCCAAGTTCAATATTTTTAACTTACACACATTTCGTGCCGCCCAATTTGCTTCATTCGCATCGCCTGGCACAAATTTGCATCTATTCGATATATACAAATACAACTCAGTAAGACTGATGGACTGAACATGGCGAACCACCTTAGCTTAAATACACTTCACCAACAAAACAACTGCAGAATGCAATATATGCATGAGGGTCCCCATAACAAAGGGGGAAAAAACAAGTCTATTATTATATTAGATATATTTATCTACTGGACAGTCCATCATGTTTAAGTATGAGACAATGGCTCTGCCTCTGCCTGCTGCTGCACTATTCATTCTGTGACCCATCAGGTCCTGTGAACTGTTGCACTTTGTGTCTGCCTGTCTACAACCTGTGTACACAACAGTTTACTGAAGTGCCATCACTGTGTACACCAGCTGCCCATTTTCCTTTTCTACAAAGAGTATGAGCATTGTTGCAGGAAGCCTGAGAACTAAGAACTGAATTGCCAATGATTGTTTCACTATAATTGTTGTGCATAGACAATAAAGAACTTGACGCACTTGTTTCAGGACGCAACTGTAAAAGACTGTCATCAGTGTCCATGGAAGAAGCACTGTGTCCATCAAAAACAAACTCAAAAAGCTGCTCACTCTGTCAACTCCTTCGATTGAACGTTACCTTCAATTAATTGTGCTAAAGACTGTGCAAACATTTCACATTTTGTGATTTAGTTGGTAACAAAAAGTTGAACTAACTGTAACTCAGGCTACTGGTCATAATACAGCAAACAGCCATTGTGACTATTTTCATTAAATCTGTTTGCTATCACTTAAATGTAAAGAATTCATGTCAACGCAAAAAAAGTTTTAAGAAATAAAGAGTACCCTATTATTAAAGAGTATGAATAAAGATGTGAGCAAATTTAGATATGCCATCAACTATAGTGTTAGCCTCCACAAGAATAAGCTGTAATTTCATACTGTTTATCGTTCTGCCTCTGCTCTCAAATGAATCATTCAGAGCAAATTGTTTTTAAAACTGACAAATCAATTTAGGGAAGTTTTTGTTTTACTGTATTATGTAAGAAAATATCCATACATTTGAGTATCGCAATATTTTGTTTTGGGATATTTTAACAATTCACAAAAGGACTTTTAATGTTGTAACACTTTAAGTTTACTGTTTATACTGTTGAATTTTTGAATTAGTTATAAAAAGGGTTCTCAGAATGTAGAAGTGAAATGTACGTTAAATTGGATGCTTTAATAAAAAGACATTTGAATAAAAAACCCCAACCTCTACATATCAGTGTTGTAAACAAACTGAGGGCTGTGGTGTTGGATGTTACAGGGACTGTGATAAATACAAAGGTGGATCCCATTGTTCTGGTTGCATAAAAAAAACTGTTTAACTGGTGGTTTTTCCTAAACGATATCAGCTTGCTTACAGCACTGGTTTCCAACCATTTCCCTTTTCTATCACTGAGTAAACTGACATATTTTATGGATATCTCATATTATATTCAGCTAATAAACTGTACAATGAACCCAAACAGTGAACACAATAACTGCAGGGAGTTTGTGTAAAACAAGTGATTTGGATGAATTTGGAGCAGATTATTTATTAGTGAGTATTGATCATTTTTAGGAACTTTCTATATAATTCTCTCTCTGTGTATTATGCATTTTTAGAGTTTTTGACAGATTCAGTGTTTCATTCTCACTGTATTAGCTCTTCTTTTAAAGCAGGATGAGGCTGTTTATCAGAGTGAAGGCAGTGTGATAATAGCTCGTGTTTAGGTCTTCAAAGTTTAGATCCTAAATAAAAATCTAAACTTTGACAATACAATTTCATTTAGTTTTCTTCACAGAAATGAATGAAATGCTGAGATACAGACCTACTGTGTATATTATTTATATTTTGAAATGAATAGTGTTAACGTTCATTGTTTTAGGAAATGAGCCGATTTGTGACACGCTTTTTTAAAATTACCTTCTTTTTAATCTTTGGGCTTGGAAGAAGGTATCAAGTATTTTCCAATTAAAATGCTAGTGAAGTCCAAGTGAAGTCACGAGTCATTGGTGTTTAAGGACCAGTCTGTAGGTTTAAGTGACATCTAGTGGTGTAATTGCAGACTGCAACACCCTCGCTTTACCCGCCATTTCCAAGCGCGAAGCAGTAACTACGGTGGCCACGAAGCCCATAAAAAACAAGAACAGCTATATCTAGAGCCAGTGTATGGTTTGTCCATTCTGGGCTACTGTAGAAACATGGCTCTTCAACATAGAGGACTCCACAGAAAGCGACCCGCAGACTCAGTAGATAAAAACAGCTCATTCTAAGGTCACAAAAACACAATGATTCCTATATTCAGGTGATTATACACTAATAAAAACATACCTATATTCCATTTCTGACAATAGATCCTCCTAAATGATACACACTGGACCTTTAAAGTCCAATTCAGGTTGCAAGTCTTTTTCTGAAGTCATCAAATTGTGAATGGAGTCCACAGCTCTGATATAATTAATATCAGAAAAATAATCCCATAAATACTGTTCCACTAACCCACACAGAGTGTATTCATATTACCATGTAGGGTCCATGTCCTCCTACACCGGGTCTATTACAGGTTCGGCTCAGTGACTTGACCTCACTTGGGTACTTGAGATTCAGAAAAGTCAAATGTGGAATTTAAATGTTTAATCACTGAAATTATTCAATGTCTTTTCATACCGGCTACATCTCGAGGTGAGATATTCTTCGATATTCTTACCGTGTGGGCCCCCGTGTACACTTACCCTGTGTCTGAATGAAACGTTCAATCAACTGTGAGTGTGGTCCAAGTACGGATAAGTTTCTGTATGAGTTTTATTCACCGGACCAGCAGCTAGTGTCCGTCCGTGTCTGAACTGCGAGGAGGAAATTACTGATGCGTTGTCCCAGAAAGTGCGTCCGATAGCTTCGTCCCACCGGTCCCACGGAAACGAGACGCCAAGGTTAACAGAAAGAGAGGGTTCCTGCCGAAGAGGAAGTGAATTATGTAGTTAATTTCTAATTTGTAATGAGCATACCTTTCTTTAGCTTTGTTTTCGGTCGAGCTGCCCGTCGGTCGGTCCCTCCCTCTCCTCCCCTCTGTCCTCCGCCAGCTGCCGCTCGGTACTTCCACAGTCTGTATACCAGGCGGTGTTTTGAGACGTGGCCAGAGGCTCTGCTGGGCTGACTGGCAGTAGGCTGGGCGGGGGGCTGGTGGTCCGAGATAGAGGGAGGGTGGGTGGGTGTACTTGGAGCGGGCGGGACCTGAGCCAGTTCACTGTGTCCCAGCAGCAGGAGGACACAGGCACCGTGCTGCGACATAACCCGAGACTCTCTGCTACATCTGCTGAGTCAGGGCTAAGTTTACAAAGCTCAACAGGTCTGGACCACAGAACATTTAGCCCACTCTCCTCAGCACAGGGTACATATGTTACTGCCACTCCAACAGGCTACCGGAGGCTCAAGGTTGTTCATCTGAAGTTAGAACCTTCATTATAACAACTGTGTTTACCCTACTGTTTCATGTCAAAATGGCTGCTGTGAAAAAGGTCTGTGACTTCACACTGGAAGATCTACACCAAAGCTACCCTTGGGAGAAATCTAACTTGGTTAACTAAAGCTACTAAGGAGGAGGAGGAGGTCAAACAACTTTGTAAAAGTTGATCAAATAGATAGTGCACATGTGATAGGAAATGATAACAAAATATGATAATGATAGATAAAAAGGTTGCATGTCAGCACATACAAATAACAAACTCAAAACATTAAAAACTATAGTAGGCTATTTGTCACAGGTGAGCTGACTCCAGCCTTCTGGAATACTCCATGACCAAAACAAACCAATCCCATCTGGGCTTTTCACAAGTACAAAATTGCAAGGAATGCTAAATTTTTGCTGTAAACATATCTGGATTTGTGTTATCTGACTATAACTGAAACATTTAATAATACAAAAAATGTAAAAACCCATTTGACAAACTTGAGCTCTGAAATAAAGGGAAATGGGCTTGTTGTCTTACTTATAAATCCGTCAGTTTTGTAACATCTGACAACCAAAACAGTCTTCAATTCGCATCGTTTTAGAGAGCTTAAACACTGGTTTAAACCAATGGGTTTTACCTGTCAGATCAGAATCTCTTTATCTTTTTTTATACAACACATCAGCAGTCTTTCAAAGTTCTTGAAATAAAAAAAATCAGTCCTTTCTTTTTATGGCTCAAAATTGTTTGTAGTTTCTGTAGTTAACCGCACACAAAGAGTAATTCAACCACTTGAATCACTATGCAGATGAATGTAACTGAAAGAAAGTATGAGTTATGGGAAAATTAAAAATGATAATTGTAGTTAAATTATAGTTCACTACTCCCCACCACTGCAGGTATGGGTGATTAAATGAAATGTTTATGTTCTAATATTTGAGCAATGAGTAGTATAATAGTAGATAGTCAAATTATAGTAGAATGTTGCACATCCCATCCCAGTTTGTGATTTTTCCAGTCAGGATGCTTTATATCGCTCCTCTGTAAAAGTTAACAAGAACGTTGTTTCCTTAAGAAATACAATAGTTTCTGTGCTTTCTTAACCAGGTTGGAGATGTGAGATGATCATGATAGGTTTTCTGTTATGTTGACTACCAGGAGCATAAAACTGCTCCACTGACTGCTTCCTTTTTTCTAAAATCAACAATCAGCTCCTTTGTTTGAAATTTGGCAAACTTAAAACCAAAGTTGTCTCTATGTCGGGGGAGGCAGTCACGGGTGTACAGTGCGAACAGAAGGGGGTTGAGCACACAGCCCTGAGGGGCTCTGGTGTTCAGCACTAGGGTGGAAGAGGTGTGACCACCAATCTGAACCGTCTGGGGTCAGTGTGGTATTCAAGCTCAGAGTACTGAGATTGCCAACTGGTTTCAGGGCGGGTGATAGAGTTGAATGCTGAGCTGAAATCAACAAACAGTATTCTGAGCTAATTTCTGAGATGTCGCTTTGGAGGCAACATGGTTGAACAATCTGCTGATCATAGTATCCCATGGGTGCTTCTGCTTGTTACTGCAGTGAGAACTCCATCACCTCCACCGCTTTGTTATCGTGGGTGTCAGATAGCAGAGAGAGAGAGAGCTGCTTCTGCTGATGTTGTAAACAACTACATACACACCTCAGACCCATGTTAGTGCTGGTAGTTCACACCTGCAACATCTGTAGGGTGTGAGGGTGTGAATCACCCAATGATCATGCTACATGGAATGTTAATTAGTGGCCATAGTTTATAAACATTTTAACTAACTGGTAAAAGGGGTTGCAATTTGAGACATAAGCAAAAATAAACACATACAGGCTCAGTAGCAAGGTTATTATAGTTAACTAAAACTAAACTAAAAACTAAAACTAGGTGTAAAAATATCTTATATTGACATATTGCTAACTGCAATAAATAAATAAAAACTAGACTAGAAAAAAATGAAAACTCACTGAAACAATATTGTGTACTGAAGTATATTATAATAAATATATAATAAATAAAATAAAAATATACAGGAAATGTCTTTAGTTTGGTAAAAAAAATATGTCAACACAAGCATTGGGAGGCATTGGTGCATATGTTAATCGAGACTGGGACGTCTACACTGAGACTGTGAGTGTTTGTATTTGTGTTGCCAGAGCAAAATAATACAACCGAAAAAAGGATGCATCTGGTTCCTGTATGAGCCAGACTCATATCCTGTCTCTGCGGCCAAATTCAAAGCTCCTTGGTCACCAGTAAATGCCTGCTGGATAAGGACAGGGGAGTGGACGAGGGTGACTTTGCTTTAAGTCACTGATGTGGGATCAGTTTGAAACAGTAGACCAGACTCCGTAGACAAAAACATTCAGGTCATTTGACCTTGTAACGGCTTAACACTTCATTCAAACTTGACAGAAACAAATAAAACCCTTGGTTAGTCTTTCCACTGTTCAATGTACAATATGTCATTTCTGCCTCTAGAGGTGTCCCACTCTCTCTGACATTAGCATTTAGCTCAAAGCACCACTGTGGCTAACACAGCCTCACAGAGCTACTGGCATGGCTGTAGACTCTTAAGGCCTCCACACACTGGGGACGTGATGAATAAACACGACACGAAAATGAGAAACATTTCTGACGTTTATTCAAAACAGAAACAATCAACAGGTCTGCTGTGAGCTGTTACAGGACGTCAGCGCAATGTGATCGGTTATTTTTATTGGCTGTGCTAAAGCCGACTACGAGCCATTAAAAAGTTACGCCGCTTTTGTGCTGCGTGATGTTTGCGTTAATAAAAACAACACAAAAATACTGACGTGCAAATGAATAGAAAGCACATGACAGTACATTAGGCCTACTGGCTGGCTAAGACAATAAACACAACCTCTGCTCAGCACTATGGTATACGTTATATATATATATTATATATATTTGGTGGCTTCAAAATGGATAAGGACAGATGAGAATTTTAGGGACTATAGTTGAGGAAACAGGGTGTAACTCTTACTGAACTGTCTGGCACAAACCAAACTGGCGGACTGAGTGGTTTAAATTAGCTAATACAGTGGTACTGGTCCAGAACATACACACACACACACACACACACACACACACACACACACACACACACACACACACACACACACACACACACACACACACACACACAACAAACTAAACGTGGACATGCATATAATCTAACAAACATCTCCTGGGACAGTGAGTCAGAGGGAAAATGAAAACCATGACTGCCTAGTGTACTGCAGGTTTTCCTCCCACAGAGTACAGCACAATTCTTCTTAAAGGTCCATTGAGGAGGATCTATTATCAGAAATGGAATATAATATTCATAGGTATGTTTTCATAATTAAGTTTATAATCACCTGAATATAGGAATCATTGTGTTTTTGTTCCCTGAAAGAACAAACCAAACACTGGTTCCGGATGGGACATTTCAGTTTGATTGAGACTCCCAGCCACCGTAGTTTCTCCTACACGTTTGGAGCAGGAGGTTGATGCCCTATACATTTTTTCATTAGAAGGTCACTGTGACTTCACAAAACATGCTTTTAGCCGTAACCTAAGAACTGATGTCTATATTTCATAATTGGTCTGACAATAAATTGGTGTCAAAGGTCACTCTGGCCTCAAAATAAGTTTTTAGCCATAATTTAGGCATGGATTGGCTGAATCCAGATTACACACACACACACACACACACACACACGTTGATGGGACGATACAATGAGTAAACAACAAGTAGCACAGTACAGGCTTCCATCTATCCATCTCATCCATTCTGCATTTCGAGAGTCCTCAGAATCACGCTACTGCAAACATCGCATTGGAGCATGCCGAGCCAATGGTGATCCTGTGAGCTCTACCCTATAAGATTCCATCTTTACATGGTAATCATGTACACGTGCACCTGTCTAAGTCAATACTTCTATGATAATCCTTCATAAATCAGTTCAAAAATGTATATTCACTGGAATCATCCCAATTTATTGTGTCCTCTCCTACAGTACTGTAAATGACAATCCCAGCTTGGAAACTAAAATACCATGTTAAGTTTAACTTTAGTTGATTGTTGAGTCTCATTCCTAGGGCATCAAATACAGACACTTTGGGACCCTGGGAATGAGATTCTCTTCACTATCTTCAAGCTTCCAACCCAAAGTGTCTTTCTGCCTTTCTTTGCTCTGATTGGTTTTTGTCCAGGCATGGTGGATTCTTGCAAATACCATTAGGTATTTATTAATTCATCAATATTATTAAAAATTACCTACTGCAGTTTTAATGACTGTGTTTCTATTAAACATTAACTTACACAACAATGGCAGCAGTGGCCACATTTACATCAGATAGAATAGCGGCCTGAAAAATAAAATAATGATATTATTGGAATTATTATAGAATAGGGACCAACAGAGAGAAATATGGATTACAATGAGGACCATGGATAGTGCCATGGACTTCACTATTAAACAGTGACCTATTTATGGCTGACATAGTGAATTTTACCAATAATATGCCCAGACCCCAGTGAGATAATGTACTGGCTCTCAAAGTCTTTTTTAGAACGATGCATCAACTGTGGGATGCACTGAATATGAGTCAGAGACATAACACAACAGTCAAATCAAGTTTTTCTTGATAAGGTGGGGGTTAATAACTTCAAACCTGTATATCAGGTCAATGTTTGCCAAAGCTTCCCATGGTTTCAGTCAAACATTAGTCATGTGTAGTCTGCTGACAATATGTGGTATGGGCTATTGTCATAAATGTATCAGTTACATATTGACAAGGCTCCAACAACTTGTGATTGGAGAACCCAGTGAATCAATGTGCAGAAAAATAATGCAGGAACTCGATTTCATATATACATAAATATACACAACAGTAACATCTGAAGTCATGTTCACCTCAAAAAAGATGAACTGGGGGTAACGTCACAAAAGGGAGAGCGGCCAGGCTAAAATCAGAATCAGAATCAGAAATACTTTAATAATCCCCGTGGGGAAATTACTTGTAGGGGGGGAGGAAAAGGGGGAGAAAAACAAGAGGAGAGGGGAGGAGAAAAAAAGCAGCACCCAGACTCTGCTCCTGTGTGGGAGTACAGTGTGGGACTGGGAAAAAAAAAAGCAACATAAGCACATATGATCACACTTTACAACATAAAAACTCAAAACAACTTGCAACGGGGGAGGTGGGAAAGGTCGGTGGAGACCAGATCAACCACAATAAATAAATATAGATGGCAGAGCTAGTTCATGACATTAAAAGTATACGCATGTGATGGCAGGGGCGTGTCCAGACTTTTTTGACTGAGGGGGGGCACAAGCGGGGCACTGACTTATGCCAGGGTGGTATCAAGTATGTGTCTTATCTTTCCAGTCATTCCCAATAGGGTTTATGGACCCCAGTCCGCAGAAATATCCAATACACTAGGTGAAAATAACACTTTTATTCATGCAAAGAACTGCATGTTTTAGCATTAAGCATTTCTGCAACGGGGAGACTTGTGGGTACACATAGAACCCATTTTCATTCAGATATCTTGAGGTCAGAGATCAAAGGATCCCTTTGAAAATGGCAGTTTTTCCATGGCCAAAATTTAGCCTAACTAACCTAACTTAGACCCCTTCCCGTCATTTAGTTTCATATGACACCAGTATCTTCTCTGTAGCTTTAAAACAGAGCCTGCTACATCCTCTGAAAGACGGTGTGGAGTGGAATAGGGAAGGATAATGGGGTGGCCAAACAGATTTCAGGGTTGGCAGTGCCAGGATCAGAGGATCAGGGAGGTCAGTGATAGAACAGGTTAGAGAAATACCTGTGAATAATATGAATTTGAATGAATGGCTGGAACGGTGTGGGGATTTGCTGGTGAATGGGGTGCAGGGATTTTAGAGAATTTCACATCTCGAAAGGTAAAGTTATAAAAAATATTAAAGCATTAAAGTTAAAGAAAATACAAAGTACACATGTTAAATTGTACTAATTGTTTATTGTCTATGACCTAAAGCTGTACTATGTACAATACAAAAATGAATGAGCACATCAACAAAGAATGTATTTAATTACTGTCACAAAGTCTCATAGATATAGAAATAGTAAAAATATAGAAACTCTATGTGTATTTTCTATACATTTCCATGGCTTCAAATAGTAGTAAAAGAAGAAATGCATTTTTCTGTAGCGGAGGGTCTGCGTAGAAACCTGTCCAAGAAAGGGTTAAAATATAAATCAAATTGTGTCTCTCTGCATGTCTGTATAAAATACAGGAAAATTATTAAAAGGAATACAGCATATTCTTGGGAGGTTCTTTGCTCAACTTGTCAAAGGTCCAGTGTGTAACATTTAGCAGGATCTACTGTCAGAAATGGAATATAATGTTCATAGGTATGTTTCCATTAGTGTATAATCATCTGAATATAGGAATCATGTTTTCGTTGCCTTGGAATGAGAATGAATTTTGAACAGCCATGTTTCTACAGTTACCCAGAAGGGACAAACCATACAAGTTTCCCGTAGTTTCTCCTACTCATTCACAGCCTATTCTCATTCCCATGTCGTACATACAGACGTGAGTGGTGTTCAGTTTGTTGTAATCTGCAACTTCACCACAAGATGCCACAAAATCCTACACACTGGTCCTTGATAAAAGTCAATATGAAGCACCTTCAAAGCAGTTGACTTCACGCATGACATTTGCTTCATATGGAAACAGTGTAACAAGTCACTACAAGTTCTAATCAACTTTCAACTGAATTAGCACAAAATTGCTATCACCACTGTGTCCAATTTAGTTTCTCTACATTTTGTTTTAAAGCTGTCACAGGTTCAGACCTCTGATTTAAGACTGTACACTACTGGTCTGAGATAGCTGGTAGAATTTGAAGTTTATGTTCTCATAATGTAGACCAAAGAACAGAACAGACCAAATGGCTTTTCCCTAAAACTCACACTTCCATTGATTTGGTATTACATTTCAGTCAAAGGGTATCTGTCATTGTGAGACATGTTATATCGACTCTGGTAAAATAAACCTGCTGGTTCTTGTATACCTGGAGGTCAAAGCACCACCACTGCATCATGACAGGTGAGGTTTTCCCACCGGTATGGGTACGGTGGTTAGAACCTGGTTCTGGAAAACAAATCTCTGTATGCGCTCAAAGACCCAGAGGAAGATGAGGAGGACACTGACGTATTGAATCCAGGCAAATTTGATGGTTTCCCAAAAGCCAGGACGATAGGTGGATGGAGACGGTTAAGGCAGAAATAATGAAGTATATATATTGTACCCCTATTTAACAAAGACATTCACCCGTCAATAAAGGTTTTAGCGATACAAAGCGAATTTCATTAGTTAGCAACAGCCTGACTTTCTACAGGAGTGGAGTGTTTCTGGGGACCAGGTCTGACTGATTATTGTATAAAACACAACTTTATCAATGATTTGGGTGAAACTGGATGATAATTTAATGGAGAAAATATTGGTCTGGTTTTCCTCTGATGTCCTCCGGCTGCTCTGCTCTCCATTTTTAGTGAACATACTGTAACATAAGTTGCCTGCAAAAATTATAAATAAACATATATAAAGAATATAACTAGACACTTTTACCCGGTAAAAGCAGTATATAATCTGTTAATAAATGGTTTATAACACACTATAATGCAGTTGTAAGCTGATACAAGTCTTTATTAATGTATCTGTCAACAATAATTACTCCTCCAGTAGGCACACGCGGTAAAACATAATGTGAGCTGTACATTAATAAATACTTATAAATGTTCCTATAACTTTTTACAACTACATTACAGTGTTATAACCTATTTATTAAATGTTTATATAGTACTTACAAACTCTAAATCAGGGGGTTTAAGTAATGTGTTACCATAGAAGGCAGGGGTGTACCGATTTACCGATACGAGTCGGAAATCGGTTTTAATATTATAGATGCAACTACATCGGTACGCAGACCCCTGGATGGATCTAAATGTACCATGAACCAGTTGATGGCCTGATTCTAAAGATATGAAGACTGAAGCTTTGCTGCTAACACAGTCTTCCCTCTCATGAAAGGTAAAAGGTCCACGCCAGGATCTTGAGTCAATAGTGACGAGAGTAATGTGGCTCGCAAGGTCGGTACATAAACAAACATGTCCCACAACGCTAAGGTAATCACGGCAGAAAGTCTTTTTTTGTCTGTGTCTGTTGGAAAAGCAATAAACACAATGACGGAACTCTAAAAGGAGACATTTTATTCGCTTTTTAAGAATCGGCTTATTTTAATTTAGAATAGTAAATAAATGTCTACATTAACAAATGTAAAGAACTGTATCACATTCATCGTATCAAATTGCACCGAGTTGTTTCATATTAAAATGCATCGTCCATGAATTGTATCGTAGCCCATGTATCTAGATTGGTATCGGATTGTCTTAGAAAGGAGAGATGCACACATCTAATAGAAGGTATATAAAAAGAATTGCTCCAAAATTAGAGTTGAGTGTTAAAACACACACACACACACACACACACACACACACACACACACACACACACACACACACACACACACACACACACACACACACACACCTGTATTTATTAAAGGATATCTAATGACCTCTATGGGGTAACGGATCTCAGCATTAAGCTGAAAGGGGGACCCAGCAGCTCGTCCCACAGTCCAGACAGGCATGGGACACGACAGTACTGTGGTCACTATGGTAGAACAAAGGGAAAAAAAGAATTTAATTAAATAAAAATCAGAGCGCGAGCGAGAGTTGTTCCATTTTACAAAATGCACCTGTGACACATTGGATGTACAAGCTCTGAGTTACTGTCACACTCAGAGGTGGTGGTTCAGCTTGAGATGATTGTAGTTTTAGAAACTCAATATAGTCAACAAAATAAGAGCCTTTGTCAACTTACAGTTTCTGTCCTGGTAGCTCCCAATTATGTTGTCAAGGTCATATGCGCTTGCAAAAGGGCTGGAGCCATCGATGACTGACACCTTGGCATCAACAGAGAAACAAGACAAACAGAACTACACCTTAACAAATTTAGAGTTACTGCTCGTCTTACATCTCATGTTTCACATTTTTTGTCAACAAATAAAAACTAAATGATAATGTGAAAGACAAATGGACAAATGTGCGAACTAGGGAAGACAATTTCTGAAGAAATTGCAGGTGTGAACGCTGGATGTTGAAAGACAGAGGCTGAACTTCATTGCTGGCTTTAATTTGTATGGAAAAGCAGCTGTTTTTTTTAAAATCTCACAAGGTTTGAATGTATTTTCTATCTGAATTGACAAAGAGTAGAAAGGAGTTTGAATACTTGAAAAAGTGTGAAAGAGATAAAGGATGCATCACCAGGACATCTGTTGTCTGCCAAACAGTACTGTGTATTTAGCGATTTTAATCAGCAGGTCTGTTTGTTTTAGAGAGGATGAGACCTATTCACTATTGTTCACTCACTTACATGTACTTCTCATTTCCATCTCATCCGTCCTATCAATTATCTTTGTGCACTGCTTTGCCTCGATGCGTGCACCCTCCACTGTGTGACCTGCACAGTCTCATGGTGTGTTAAAATTTCTTTACATGCCATTCATGGGCAGCAAAGTATGGTCCACTTGAATTAGTATTCATGCTTAAGAGAAAATGAGAGAGAAAAGAAAGAAAGAAAGAAAGAAAGAAAGAAAGAAAGAAAGAAAGAAAGAAAGAAAGAAAGAGAGAGAGATATTTGATAGTGTCATCCAGCCCATTGCGCTGTACGGTAGTCATCAGAGCTTTACCCGTTGGGACAAACATCCAACAGAATCTCTACATGCAGAATTCTGCAGATACATTTTACACGTACACAGAAACACACCAACAAATGCATGTAGAGCAGAATTAGGCAGATACCCACTGATAATTAACATTCAGAAGAGAACGCTCAACTTTTTTAACCACCTGAAATCCAGCCCCAGAGACACCCTCCACTCCAAAGCCCTCCAAACCCAAGAGCTGAGCCCAGAAAAGAGTCCCCTATGTCAGTTGGTACTGAGGCTAACTGCCCCCTCTCAGACACACTCTGACCAGCCTCACAACAACACGGCTCTACAAACAGTAATCAGAGTAAAGCAAATTATAGCACAATGTAAAGAAAGCTATCTGGACCATTGGGAAGAAACAACTAAAAGCCAAAATAGATTGGAATGTTATCTTGCCCTTAAAAGAGATTATGAATGAGCAGAATATCTCTCTACTGTCAGAGATAGAAAGCAGAGACAGATCCTAACCAAGTACAGGCTCAGTGACCACAAACCGCCAATCCAAACAGGAAGACACAAAAAATCATCGCAACCAAAAGAAAACAGAAAATGTGGTCACTGTTCGACAGGTGAGGTTGAGACAGAGATGCACTTTCTCCTACAATGTACAAAATTAAATAATATTAATAAAATGTATTTGAACAAGTTCAGCTCTTTGGTTCCAGATTTCAAAGAGCTGAACGACCTCTCCAAATTAAAAATACTCCTCGGAGAAGGAGAGCGGGCAAACCTTGCTGCCCAGTATGTATTAACATGCTACAACCTGATGGACAGTGAGTGATCGAGGCAAACACACACACACACACACACAGAGTATATAACTAATATAATGTTCATATAATAATAATAATGTATATATCTTTGATTTATTGTATTTGAATACTTTGCTTTGGCAATACTGTTTTTAAAAAAAAACTTTTATGCCAATAAAGCCCGTTTTGAATTTGAGACAGACAGAGAGAGAGAGAGAGAGAGAGAGAGAGAGAGAGAGAGAGAGAGAGAGAGAGAGAGAGAGAGAGAGAGAGGAGAGGGAGAGAGGGAGAGAGAGAACAGGCATACAGAGAGAAAGACAGTGAGTCAGTGTCCTCTCACATTGTAAATGTTGTACAGTCCTCGGTGCGGCAGGGGAGTCCTCTGCTGGAGCCTCAGGTCTCCACTAATGAACAGTTTAGCTCCAGGGACAGAAGAAGAGTGTTGCACATAGGCCAGGCTCTGCATCACCACTGTGGACATTCGCTAGCAAAGAAATAACACTTTAGTTGGAACATTGACTGAGGCTGGTCTGGATAGGCCTGGTGACCTACTGCAGTTAGCAGGTTGTACTGACATGGTGGCATACACACAGGAAGGGATCTGTAGCTCATTCAGTGTCTTAGTACTGTACAACATTGTAACAGGTATGGTATAAAACAAATTCAAAATAGCATCCCCCCTCAAATGCCCATAGGTCAAAACTTTGGTGCATATGACATACTCAAAGTTAGCTTGAGACAATTTCTTTGTTCTGCCTCTTTTTGCTCTGTGCTCCAGTGACAGTTGAGCAAGCCTCATCAGACCCAACCCAGTGACTTTTAAATATTAGCTGCAACAAGATCTGAATTTGTGCTGAGTTAAGATGACTGTCATTACTTTCTAGCACCAGGTTGAGTACAGCTGTCTTAAAAGGTATATTGTGTAACATTTAGGAGAATCTATTGCCACAAATGGAATATAATATTGATATGTATGTTTTCATTAGTGTATGATCAACTGAATATAAGACTCTCCTACACGCTTGGAAACCGAGCGATATTCACATGGTTGCAATCTGCAATGTCACAGCTAAGACGCCACTAATTCCTACACACATTCCTTTAATGGTGGCTCTGACATGTGAAGCATCCATCTCATGTACAATCTGTGAGCAGATAGTCAGACTAGGTACGGCACTGGAATACATACAAAGAGCTGGTAGCTGAAGGTGAGCAGCAGTTGGACGCTGTACACCTGTTCCTCAGGTTTTAGAGGTAGCTGCAGTTGCAAAGTCAGGAAGTCCAACTTCCCGTCCTGGTTCTGGTCCTCTTCTCTCACCTGTAAAGTGCGTTCACCCACACAGAACAAACAAGTATTATGTAGTTTTGACTGTTATCGGTTATCACATAAATGCATGCAAATGGAGGCACAAGCCCCAGGGGACGGTGGTGTACATTTCGAGGTAACTATGGTAGATCGCTTACAGAGATAGATGGGATCCGCAGGTTGGCCCCAAGCATGTTGTTCAGATAGGGGAAAGTGCTCCAGGCGACATAGTCTCCCTGAGGGCTGGTTGCTGCCACCAGCAGAGTCTGGTACTGGAACCTCACAACCGGTTGCTCCTCATAAGTGCTTCTTTTTATCCAGAAACCTAGAAGGACATGGCTTTAAACAGCGAGCAAGCATTTCTAATTGTACAGAAGCGTGCATTACTTATATTGTCATTTAGCCACAGCGACAGAAGATTCTAATAACTTCTGTTTGGCACTACAGTAGTTTACCTTGGCTCCTGTAAGCAACCAGCAGAGGGGGGATGTATGTGAGGCACAGAACAACAACCACAAACACAGTGGCTTTCGTGCAAACGCTCGTTTTGTAGCGAAGCAACGCCGGGTGAGAGTACACTTCATAGAAAGCCATAGGTAACCATAGGCAACCACACACACTGCGGTCGTAACAGCCACTGCTGTGTGTTATCAATGCAACCGGCTAGCTACTTAATGTTCAAGCTACAACAGATGCTAAATGAGTGGACGGTGCCGGAGGGCTAACGCGATGAACGCTCACAGACAAACAAACAAACGCTAAACAAACACACATAAATCTTCGTTAAGTAATATCCATCTAACAGCTTCCGGGATGAAATGAGCGTATTTTTGCGAAACGTAGCGTACTGACGTGCTATTGACGTTAGCCCTCCAGCTAGCTAGCTAGTCTAGTACAATGCACCACGCCATGTTGGAACTTAGCTTAGCGTCTCACGGTTACCATGGCTGCCAGTGGTAGCGTTCACGCGCCTCTCAAGCAACACCGGTACAATGGGAAGAAGAGGAAAACCTCCCGTTACCGTTAGTTACCGTACTCCGGCCTGGGAGGGGTTACTGCTAACCCTGCGGTCACATCATTGCAGTAACAGATTCTAGCTAACGTTACTTTTGCTGTGTTACATATTTGAAGGGTTTTGTGTGGAAGCCCATTTCCGCCAATGTGATTCTGTTTGTCATTAAAATAAGAAACTTTCTCAAAATAATGATTTTGTCAAACTAATGACTTCATTATTTTGAGATATTAAGTGATTATTTAGAGATAAGACATGGATTTGAGATACTAAGTCAAAATATTGACTTCTCAATAGTTTGAGAAAGTTTTCCCTTATAATGAAATAAAGTTACAGAATCTTTTATTCTCCCATCACGTTGACGGAAATGGGCTTGCATAGATTTCTTAACAAGTGAAACCAGACAAAAACAAACTGAGGATAGCTCCTAAATGACCTGAATCTATTAGTGTTATTATTGGATTTTATTTAAATGCAACCATTGACACTTGTAGTTCTTTTTAACAAGTGGCTAGCACACAATCTGAGCCCCTACATGTGCAGCCACAGCAGGCCCCCTTCCCCTTTTAATACATCCATTGTCATACTTACTGGAATCATTATTGTTATGGTTTGTCTCAGTGTGTCTTTGTTGTTGTGTTTTTCTTTTTGTCCTCTCTCTGTTCCCCCTCCCTTTTCTGTATTCTTGCAGAGCTTGTGTGGGGCAGGGGGTGTGGCTGGCTCTTCTTGTTGGCAGCAGAGGCACACCTGAATTCATTCAGCCTATTCCCTCCACCTCATTAGTCCGGTCTTTACTCCTGCTGGCAGAAGATTGATTGTTCTCACTCAACATGCTGTTCTCCCACGTTACCTGTGTCAAGATTCACCTGTGCAATTCTGCAGAAGACTTCCACCTGCCAGCCAGCTCCCTGCCTCACCTGCCCGCTCCTGTTTCTGTTTTTGGTTCGGTTTGTTATTAAAGAATCTTCAGTCTCCACTCACCAGTGTGTGTGCGTCTCTGCTTTGGGGTCCAAGATTTAAAGAAGACAACACATTATGGTGCATTGGTTTTCTGAATAATATATATATATATATATATATATAGAGAGAGAGAGAGAGAGAGAGGGGGGATTGTAGCCCCAAATTAAAACTAAAATCATGGGATTAGAACAATTTGGGTTTACTAGGGATTGCCAAAGCATCATGGGGGGTCACGTGGCCTTCTTGATTTTACGACGTTTAAAAAAAAACCTTTAAAAACCTACACAGTAGGCCTATATCTCAGCATTTGGTTCACTTCTGTTAAGAAATGTTAAGTAAATAGTCTAATAGAATAGCCAAACGTCAGGGACAAGAAAACACTGAATATGTCCAAAAAGAAGCCTAATAAGTCTGTATGATTGTTAAAAATAGTAAATACATCATACAGACAGAGAATTGTATAAAAAGTTCCCTAAACGGGAAATAATCTGCTCAAAATGTATCCAAATCACTCCTTTTACACAAACGTCCTGCAGTTACTGAGTTCACTGTTTGTGTTCATTGTACAGTTTAAATATAATATGAAATATTCATAAAATGTGTCCCTGAGTCAGTTTACTCAATGATAGAAAAAGGAAAATAAAGGAAAAAGGTTTCTCTCAAATTGATGACTGGCCTTAATTCATGGAGTAATGGTAAATAATAAGTTACTAAACTTTATTTGTGCTGAAGAAATGTTGGTGAAGGTTTATTTGCACCAGTCATGTTTGTTAATGCATTGGATCAACACACTGTAGTCAAGTGATCATATTTCAAAAGTTATTACTTGATATAATGCCACCTTACATGCGTAATTTTATGATGACTTAATAAAACGGACTACTTGATGTCAGTGTTGTATATCTCCTTTCAGTGTAATCTGCTGCAAATGACATTCAGGGGCTCACTATGTCTGCTATCCTCAGTAACATGAGAAGATGGTGATGATGGACCTGCAGCTGATCCACTCTCTGTGGCTCTGACCAAGTTACTGTTTGAGATACAGTAACCACAGGGGCAGGTGGAGTAGTCAGATCAGTCAACAGGCTCATTGAGAATATGGTACAGAGACCTATCACACAGGGTCTGTTCTAACCTAACAAACCTTGTCTTCATTTGAAACTTTTTTTTAAAAACAAAGATTTTAGTGGTAATATCAATACATTTTTTTACCTGGTTAATTTGGTTATCATGCCTGTACATTTACTTAATTACAGTATTGAATTCTTCCATATCTGTTATTAAAAAAACATAGGACAAATTATGTTTGTTCAGAAAAAAAAACTTTTCATTCCTTTAAGGGTCCTTGTAACTGCTGATGATAATAATAACTGTGTAATACCATTATACAGTGACACTGTGATATTTACTGGTACTGTGAAAATCTCATACAGTTTCAACTCTCTCAATTCAGGCTTAAAGTAAATGAGCACCCTGCTTAGCCATTCGGCGATATGAATGCAGATAATTTAGTTTTGCGATACAACAATGGTTACCATCTAAATAAAATACTAAATAGGGAATTAAATAAAAAATTTTTTTTAAAGGCCGCTTTGTTAAAATAAAAGCGTGAAAGGGAGAACAATATAAATGTGATCTGCAGATCACAACGCACACGCTTCACCCTCCCCATTTCAACCGTGAGGGAGAAACTATGGTAGCCACAAAACGCGCCAAAAATTGGGAACAGCCTTGTCTAGAGCCAGTGTTTGGTTTGTCCATTCTGGGCTACTGTAGAAACATAGTGATTCAACATGGTGGCCCCTGAGAAAGGCAACCCGCTGCATCTGTAAATAAAAACAGCTCATTCTTAGGTAACAGAAACAATTTCTATATCCAGGTGATTATACATTAATGAAAACATACCTATGAATATTATATTCCATTTATATTCTGACAATAGATCCTCCTGAATGAAACAAACTGGACCTTTAAAATATGTATTGATTCCCTGTAGGGAAAAGTCAAATAGGCACAACAGTACAGGGGAATGCAGTGCAATGAGTAAACAAAGAGAATAAAATACAATAAAATATAAAATATATACACTATATATAATACAGTAGAATATGGTAAACACTAGCAAATTTTACTACATTATTTTTTAAATGGTTTACTTCAATCTAAAACATCTTGGTGACAAAATGTAGTGTCCTGGCATGTACATGTCCATACCAACACCTTCATAACTAATCATTTTATAATCATGTTTTCTAATTCGACTTACCGAATGCTTTCGCTGACATTAACACTACCGCTTTGGGCTGAGAATGAATGAGCCCTGTTCCTGCTCTGCTTGGAGTATGATCTGATGTAGTCTTGATGTTGACTGTTCTGTTTGTTTTTGTAATATCTGATTTATATTTTTACCTTGCATGTACTCTGCATTCTTTAATGTCCAGTCATGGATTGACTGATTCTTTCCAGCAGCCCCTGAAGGCAGCATCATTACCACCACCCTCTGTCAGACAGTGACGTCAGCTCCCAGCTAGACGGACAGTCGGAAGCTTCGGGCGCAGAGACAGTGTTGACGTTTTGTTTTGATCGCTTATCGTGTGGATTTTTGGACATCACGCCGACATTATCCGCAGATTTAGAAGCCCGCACTTCGACCCTGCCGTCACGCCTCAGTGCGGGGATCCAGCAAAGATGAAATGGATGTTTAAAGAGGACCATTCCCTCGGTAAAGGGGTTTGGGTTGTTATGAAACAAGAGATGTTCTTGTCATGTCATGCACCCTCCTTTCTGTTCTGCTTTCGCCTCCGCGTCCATTTGGCCGTGTCATTCCACACGGCTGCAGGAATGCATGCTTGTCTCAGCAAATGACTGATCCCTGCTGGATCCCTCTGCATGCCTCACAGCGCATGCTAACATGTTGTGCCTGTCAAATGACCGCTGTCACAATCGGCTTCACCTTTCACATTGATACATCATAGCAGTCGGCTGATTTCTCCTTGAAACGTTCTCTTGCATGGAGACATTTCCTCGCCAAATTCCATTCAAGCATCTGACAGTTTAACGTTGCCTTGCTTATATTAAATCCCTGGCAGAAAAAGCCTTGGTAGAACATTGGTAGAACATTGGTGGAACATTGGTAGAACATTGGTAGTGCAGTTAATTCGACAGGACAGTCCACCATGAAATGAAACACTTTTTCTCAATAGAACTTTTTTGCCTTGCTGCATGGTACCACCCTCCAGGGTGTATTTTGCTGACTAAAGACAATGAGGATCTCAAGCTAAACAAATAATAAAAAGCAACACATTTAATTAAAATTAGTAGTGAGTGAATTGAACATTGTTTGTAGAATTTGTTCCAGAGAACTAGGTTTCAGGGGGAATATTAATTCACCACAATTTTGACTTGAGTTTGGTTGTAAGTTCTCTCCATACTCAGATAGATAGATGGAGCCTGATAAGTGGCATGTATGTTGCGGAGCTCCTCCACTCCTGTCAGCTCCATCCTTCAGATTCTCTTCATGTAACCTTTATCTCCTTTTTAAAGAAACACTGCTGACAGTTTTGAGATGTCTTGCAAAAGTAGGCCTCTTATCTGGGCTAATGAACCCACCACATCTTATCACCCACTGCCTCGCCCTCCTCTGCTCAGTGTCTGCCTGCTGCATCGGCTCCTGCTCGCTAACAGTTCCGGAAATAGATGCACTAACCTGCTGTTTGATAATGAGAAGAGCTACAATGTTTAGTATAACCTTATAAACACAGTTGATATGTCTGTTCAGGCCGCTGCCAGCCTTTATGCTGTGCTCCATCCCTCCTATGGATCACTATACCGCACCAGGCTTGCTGTGTTTGGCAGTAAGGTAGAGAGGAGGCTCCCAAGAGGCCTCACTCATCCCTTTAATCTCTGACTTCCTGTTTGTTTCCTCTCTGTCCCTCAGAGCACCGATGTGTGGAGTCAGCCAAAATACGCAACAAATACCCTGACAGAGTACCGGTGAGTGGGGGGGGGGGGGCAGACGGAGTGAGTGACAGAAAGTTAAGAGATAAGGAGTGAGGGTTTGGGTGGGTGAATGGCAGTAAGGGATGAGAAAGAGGAGAATGAGTGAGTGTTCAAACAGATTAGGATTTAGATAGAGCTCAGAGAACTGGGGTCGCAGCTGTAACACATGTGAAGTCTGAGAGCCTCCATGACTTACAAAGTTCCCCCCCTTTGTTAATCACCAATATATATATATATATATATATATATATACACACAGTAGGCCTATAGCTCATCATTTCATTCACTTTATGAAGAAAACCAAATTAAATTATGATTTATTTATTAGTTTGTATTATTAATTTATAACTTAAAGAAAACTTCAATTTAGCTAGCTAACGAATGATGTGGATTAGCTAGCTAGTTAGCTAGCATTTAGCTAACATTAGCTAGCTATCTTAAGATGTGGCTACATATGTTCCTTTTATGTTTTAACCATTCACTGTGTGGTTGTGTTTTCAACATAGATGAGCCTAGCATATAGCATATCTAAATACAGAAAATGAGGAAGTTGACAGAGGCTTGCTCAACTTGGGGGGCGGGACTTGGCAATGGTCAGTTAACTTTTTTGGCCATTGTTCAAACCAAACTGAAGCCCCATATCTGCTCAGTTTAAGTTATTAGTTTTTTTATACCAAAATACAATATATATTTTTTTTCATGCTGTCCAAAATATAGTTCTGAGGAGAAACATCGACCAATTTTCATTTTGAGGAATAAAGAAATGATAACAAATCAAATATCATCAATGCCCAAAGTAATGACAAAAACTGCTACTGTTTATATGTGACGTCATACTACATGTAGGCTTTATTTCATCCGGCTAACAAACGCACACCCACCATCTACACACCTTTTAAAAAGCCTGTGAGGTAACCTCTGCCACGCTGGCATGGAGGGAATACGGGCCACCACTTAGAGCCGAGTGTACAGAGTGCGTACAGAGGGAAGCTGTGGACAACAAAAGGTGTTACACTGCCTGGTCCTAGGAAATGCATACCCAGAGTCTTTTGTGTGAAAGATGCCTGTTAAACTCAATCCCTTTATCTAGTTCTTGCATGCTGCACCTGATCTTAGATCTAGATCAGAATTTGTGTTCACCACTGAAGGGGATCGCAAACAAGCAAGGTAGAACTGCCCAGTGGATCAGATGACTGTGTGGTGTGAATGCGGCCGCTCGTAGTGATGAACCCACACAGACTTATCTGACTCATCAACCCTGTGTTTCCGACATTGCAGGGATCTGTTTTCTTACAACCCTGTTGTACTCTACCTGCCCTGCACCAAATGAGACAGAGTTAGCGTCTAGCTCAGGGATCTCTAACCTTTTTGAGAGTGTGGGCTGCCTAAAAGGAGACAATTGTCGGGAGACTCTGTTTACTTGACAGACATCCACGTTAAATCAATGCTTTCAATAGAAAAGCACAGCAGTGTGTATGTCTACCTTTAATCATTTTCATAAACAGGGTTGAACCAGTTTGATATGGAATTGCGGGTGTGGATGGCCTCCATGTGGAACACAGCGAACGAACGCTGAATGCAGAAAGGCAGAGGGTATAGGGAAGCATAGTTTGAACTCAGAACATGTAATAAAGGCTAGTCTCAAGATACTTTTTTAATTCAGAAAAACACATCAGTAATTTATGTAAGTGTTTTGACACAGTGGAACCCATTTGCTCACTTCTTTGCAAGTGTTATGTAAACAAATATAAAGATTGAGATTACAGAACTCTGTGGGCGCCTCATAGGCCACGTTGCAGACCCCTGATCTCGCTGGTGAACATAATGTTATATTATATTAGACCAGACACAGTTTTAAGTCTGACAAGGTTTGGTTGTACTTCATCAGGTTCAGCAGATTCAGACAAACTGATATTATAACGTCCTATAATGGCCTTAAAGGTCCTCTTACAACAGTGCACTCCAGAGTAGAGCTGCAATGATTAGTCGATTCATTGATTAGTTATCTGTTAAATTAATTACTAACTATTCTGATAATCTTTAATTGTTTCCAATCCAAATATTCTGATTTTAGCTTCTTAAATGTGAATATTTTCTGGTTTCTTTAGTCCTGTATGACAGTTAACTGTATGTCTTTGGGTTGTGGACAAAAAGAAGACATTTGAGGATGTCACCTTGGGAAGCAGTGATCAACATTTTTCACCGCTTTCTTACATTTTATGGACCAAACAACTAATGGATTAATTGAGAATGATTGAAAGAGTAATCCATAATGACAATAATAATATTAATTGTCAGTTGCAGCCTTACTCTAATGAGCAGCTAACATTTACAGAACGGTGGATATTATTATATATTAGAGTGTACTGAGATTTGCAACCCATGCCACAACATACAGTGTTAAAAGCCCAATTTTTCTGTTGATGAATGTGCTCCAGGTGATAGTGGAGAAGGTCTCTGGCTCTCAGATAGTGGACATTGATAAGAGGAAGTACCTGGTGCCCTCCGACATCACAGTGGCCCAGTTTATGTGGATCATCAGGAAACGCATCCAGCTGCCTTCAGAGAAAGCCATCTTCCTCTTCGTCGACAAAACGGTCCCCCAGTCCAGGTGAGATCAGCAGTACGGTCTGCAGCTGTAATAGTGGAAATAAAAAGGCAACGGCACAGTGGCCACGGCCCAGCTGGTGCATGATGTAAAATGACTGTGGAGCTTTTTGCTGATGGTTTTATTTGTTTATGGTAATGCTGGTCAGAATCAATGCTGACATGATTTATGAATGTAACAGAGCAGCAAAAAAGATTCACATCATTCTGTAGAGGGACTTTTATTTTTACACTCAGTATAATTCATCTAAACAAGACATCTGTCTTTACAATGATTGTGATAATGAAGTTTATTATCAACAATTTACTATGTGTTGGATACACTTCTGTTAATCTCTCTCTCTGTGTACATAAGTATATATATCATATATATATATATATAAACTGGGAACACTATTTTTTACAATAATTAAAAACAGTCCACCTTATTTCTTTCCCTGTTGTTCCAAAAAATCTAAACGAAAAAAATCTAAATCCAAAAACATATTTTTTAGTAAAGTAAAGAAGGCTGGCTGTTTTTATTGATTGTAATTTATAGTGATCCTAGTTTGATCCTTGATTGACTATGAAGACTTTATAGTCATGAAAAAGTGTTGAATGCTTAAAGGGACACATGTTAGTGACCAGTGAAACGTATCGTTATCTGAACAAAAGTGTTCATAGATATTTTAATGCAGAAATATTATATTATAGCTTTAAAGCAATATGCAGTGAAAGTTGAAGTCTGACTTTCCCATTTGTGTGTACTATGTGCAGTGTGTTTATCTGTCTATCTGTTTTAGAACATATGACCTGAGTGTGTGAGTAATCAATCTCCCTGTGAGGACCAAGCCACCCCCCCCATGTATCCATACTGATCTGATTTCTCTGTTTACACTATTGACATGCAGATGTGGTGCAAATACATGCAGTATATCTGAGGAATCTGACCTGCTTCTCACAGCTTTGTATTGTATTGATAATGCTTCTCTTGTGGAAACTGGCTTACGCCTATTGTTAGTTCAGTGCACCTATAGTTCTTAAAGAGTAAACTGCACCCTCTCGCCCTGCCAGCTAATGGTGACAACATGCTCTTTCTTGTAGTACGTAGCATGGTGGATGTGGTCACAAGCAGAACAGATCAAACCTGACCACATCTGGCTGTGTGGAGGCCTTAAAACTATTCGAATGCCTTCAAGTTCTAATCTTTAAAGGGGTGCTATTATGCTCATTTCTAGCACTATATTCTTAGTCTGAGACTCCACAAGAGTGGCTTTGCAAGATTCTCTCTCTCATTTTTAGCTTACATTGACCCTTCCTGCAGCCCCTCAGTCCATCCTCTGTCCGAAACAGTCAGCCATTCCTGCTTTAGATATACATTGCCTACCAAGCATGAGGGATTTACAGGAAACAATGTCTATATGTAATCCAGCGCAATCTCATTTTATTTATTTCACACATCACTTTATCTCATTGATAACAGTCTGCCATTTTAGTTTCATGTTGCCTTAAGTGACAAGTCATGTTGTAAGCACTTAGCAACTTGACCTCAAATTCCCCTAAATGCGTCCTATTAGAGACCCAATTTGGCCATTGTGTTGGAGTAGGATACACCTGGGCTAAAGGTTATCCAAGCAGAGATACTCCCCCACAGAATCCCTCTGGATGAATAGGAGCTGAAAGGAAATACTACAGTCACCACTTCCTTATTGTACTGATTGATCTGAGACCAAGTTATTATGTGTCACACGTGTGAAATGTATATTTTCGAAGTTTTATCTTACTCTGGTAAGACAAAGGGAAAGTGTACTTCCCAAAATGTTGCACTCTCTTTAAACGTCAGAATTGATCTATTAAGTGTGATCCACCTCTACTCACTGCACAAATGTTAAGGCAGATGCACTCCATATCCAGGGAGCTGTTCCAAAAAGCAAGTTCACTGGGCTACCTTAAAACCTGAAACATCTTCATATCTGGAACATGGACTAATATAAAAGAAGACTTGGGAATAGGCCATTTCCCCCAGTAGACAATTTGATTTGTCCTAGTAGTAAAAGCGTGGGGGTAATGGTGCTATCCATTTGTCTCGTAAATCCCCCGCCTGAGTTGCTCTGACGCGCGAACGTGACGTAATTGCCTGGCTTGTACCACTTATAGCGTTCCATTTGTCTTTGGGCATTTGCTACACGACGACTCGGAAAGAACATGGACGCCACCCGTGCAGCAGCTGTCTTGTTATGTTTTGTCTCGAGCCACCAGGGGCAGTGGCAGGCTAGTGTTATTGTTAGCTACATTAGCCTATTTAGCAAACCAGCTCGAAAACAAAACTTTACATTGAATTGCACGCACAGCAACACCGTGCAATGCTTAAATTGGTGACCGGACTAAAGCAGCAATGTAAACAAGTGTGTTAAAATCGACATTAAAACGACCAACGTAGTACAAATACAAAGAAAATACATCTCAATACGGGCGCTGCCATCTTTGTTTTGCGAGTCGTACGTTCCTCCTCGTTCAGCTCGGTGTACTCTGAGGGGCCCCGAGTGGGACAGTTGATATTACGACCAAAAGGGGGTGTGTCTCGGTGAAATGTCGCGAGATAGCAGCGAGATTTAGCGAGATTACCCAACTTGGATTTACGAGACAAATGGATCGCACCATAAGTAATAACATGACGGCTCTGTTCTATTCAAGTGTCCTAGGCCCTATTTACATGACAGCGTTTTTTGCGTAAAACAGTCAACTTTTGTGGTGGTGACAGTGCCATTTTGGGGCCCTGAAAAAGCTAACTTTTGAACCCGGGTTCCAGAGTGCAATCTTTTGGAAACACCACCCATACCGTCGTCATGTAATCGGTGACGACATGTCCCCACTTGACTACTACGCGCTTGGCTATTGAGTTTTCAGCGCTGAGCAACATCGTCTCACTTCATCGTCCGTCCCGACAAAACTGTTTTCCTAACTTAAATACATAACATAAACAAGCAATCTTGATACAGATTTGTTTCCCTTTAAGAACTGTGACCAAAGTACATACTAAACAAGACGTTTTACAATGCAGAAATAAACTTGTCAATGCGCTCTAGTGGACAAACTATGTAATGGCAACACTGTCTACATTATTTCAAACAACACAGTATATTTGGCATTTCGGTGCTGCTATTTCTGGCAACTTACCTGCTGACATTTTCAACATTGTAGCTTACAACAGCAGCCACATTTACTCAGACTGAGATAAGCTAAAATGATCCGATAATATGTGCCATGCTAATCTATTGGTTGGGCTCAATTCCATAAGCAGGATGGATGATGCCTAGAGAGACTTTAGAATTTGAAATGACTTGCATAATGCATTCTTTATTGTATTCTTTACTGTATGTTGTTCTTCAATAATGAGGACACAATTTCGTATCTGCAACATTTCTTGACTCAGATTGCATTTCCCTAAATGTTTGTGCTTTTGTTGTTGTATGCGTTTTGTCCATAGAGACTGCCGTAGGTTTTAGCATAGAAAACTTATTTCAAAATACAGTCGATCAGCACAAAACAACACTGGAGATGTAAATATAATCGATTCTACTTCATTCTGTGTGTGATCTAATAAGGGTCTGCTTTCTGCTGTGTGTTGCAGTCTGACTATGGGCCAGCTGTACGACAAGGAGAAGGACGAGGACGGCTTTCTGTACGTGGCCTACAGTGGAGAGAACACCTTTGGTTATAAGGCCTTTTATACAACACGGGGTTAATGCTTCACTGAATATCAGTCACACACACACACACACACACACACATACACTGACGCTGTAGGGCCCGACATATTGGTGCACAATGTTTCAGACATTTGGGTCTTATGTGTTGCATAGTAATGCACCTACACACGTGGCACAGTCATTTCTGGTCCAGTTTTGCTACTAAAAATACACATTTATGGTGAAAACTAACTACACCAAAATGTTACAATTAATCAAAGTCGTTCTAATTTATTTTAGTTTTTGGCAGGATCAGATGATCGTTACTGTCAACAAATGCTTGACGTCAGTTGAGGAGAGAAATATCTTTAACACTGCCGTATAATAAGAATAGCAATCACCACACGTTATAGGCACGTCCGTTCCAAGTATCGACATGTATCGGTATTAGATTACAAAAACATTGTGACATGCCAATCATCACACATTACCCCATCATGCTACATTTATGTGTTGTCTCAGATATTTGTGTTTGGCTGAAGTGAGAAAGAAACCCTATAATCACGTGACTACAATCATTAACCACATTATGGATGTATTTGTATGGCTTATCATATCCTGTATAAAAACTTCAGTATGTAAATTCAGTGGCACTCAGCACTATGACTGGCTATGAGAACAGCTATGTTCATGTGAAAGAGGGCAGCTCATGCTATTGAGCACTTTTTACAGTCCCACCGCAAAACACTAGCCAACTAGCTAACAAATACGGGATACATCAATCATTAGCTAGCTAGTTAGGTTAGTTTGCTACAGATGCTAGCTAACTGGCGAGCTAATCTACGTTAATCGTTAGCTAGCTGGTTACATCTGGTAGCTAATGTTAGCACAACGCTAGCTAACTAACTAATATACTTCATTCATTAGCTAGCTATTTAGTTTGCTTAATTGCTTAAGTTAATTGTTAGCTGGCTGATGTTAGCAAAACACTAGCTAATTCACTAGCTAACAGTTGGTGTGGATTAGCTAGTGTTTTTCTAACTTTATCTAACTGAAGGTGTCACTTTTATCTTTTATTCTTTTAAAAACCTGTCTTTTCAATGTAGATTAGCCTAGCACATAGCATATGTCAGTACAGGACAGGAGGAAGTGGACAGAGGTTCCAAAGGGTCGGGGGTCTGTCAGTGAATGATGGCGCTCAAGGCCAGGGACCAGCGTCGGTCCCTGGGATGTTACCCAGTGCTTCCCTGCCCTGCTTTTGTGTATTTGCACATTATGTTGGCTGAATAGATGTCAGCGTCACCATGGATTCAAACTCATGATGCCAACAGCAAGCCATGAACCTCAGTGACCTGCTAAAGAAATCCAACACTTTACTTGAAGTTTATTGTGTCGTGTATTGTTTTACACACACACATACATACGTACATTTTCATCACAGGGCACCAAAAAGAAAATGACCACCACTTAAAAGGAAAACTCGCTCAGTTCCTCTTCTTATATTCTCAATCTGTAACATTCTGCCCCAGAGATACTCCGTGAGGAAGTTTTGCACTTTACCCATTCTCCCTCAACCTGCGCTGTCTACCTCTACATCAGTCAGTGGTTTCCTACACTACCCAGAATGCCTTCTGACAACCTCAGACATTTTAACAACACAGGTGTAACTAATATTTATTAGTAAAGGCTGCATTGCTTTTAGGAGTTTAGTTTGAGGTTACTCGAATCAGTGGCATGGATTCAGAAACACCATCGTTAATTTGATTAATGTCACCTGCTATGACAGGTCAAAATATCTGCTGTGAAAAAGGTTTGTACCGAAGCATTGAAGTTGTACCAGAATTTTTGTCTGCATGAAGACTTGATTCTAATTGGCTGCAGGATGTCCAATTATTCTTAATAAACTGTCAAATTATATTTAGTGTTTGTCAGCCATACACAGACTTTGAATCTTCCTAGCGTAATGTAATACTTTCCAGCTCGTAAGGGAACCAAACTGAACTGAAGGGTTCTATGAGAGGAGCAGACTAGAAATATCTCAAGATGTATCCAAGGTTCATCCTATTTACTGGAGTTGTGAACGTTTCCATTGCATAAGAATCTTATGGGAGGGTAATGATTGTTTCAGGTATTAGTTAAACCCCCAGGTGTTACTATAACTAAAAAACTTTAAGATTTTGATTGCAAAATGCATAAAAATATACTGGTCTTCATTTTTTTCCTTTGCCAAGTGACCATGGTTTAAGTGGGATAATGTCCTTTGGGGTGCCACAACCACTTGTTTTAGGTCAATTTCTTCAGCTTTAAACACCTGACAGACGGCACCTGATACCTTTAACTCATGTTGTGTTTTGTGTAAAAGCATTCTGGAAAATGTAAGAAATCATGTCCTGCAGCAAAAGTAGAGGAAGCAGGTCATACAATAACTCAGTATGTAGCAGTGGAGGAGGATCTAAGCAGGGATTATTCCTTTTGAGACTTACCACTCACCAAAACAACTGTTTACACCCCACTGTGAATACAAATAAGGAGGCTACTGCATTGCCTTTAGCTGTTCTACATTCTACAGTCCAGCTCGTAGAACTGATCCAAGTTCAAGTTCAAGTGTTTTTAGAGGGACAACTGCTAATACACTGTGAGCCATCAGCACATTACACAACTGATGCATGATGATAACACCAGAAACATTATTTTGACACATTATTTTCCCATATGTTCCTGGAATGAGTGTGTCATGGCTGAGATATGTGGTACTTGACCCTGTCCCTGTCCCTTCTGTCTTACTTTAATGATTCAAATACAGCGGAAAAGTTGGTAAATAAAATCACTGAGCGTGCAGAAATAATGCTTTCACAATTGTTAATGATTAAATATACATATTTAATGTACTTACAGTGAGCTCTGTGTTCAGGACCGTGGTGGGAATATATAGCTCTGTAATTCACATCTCCACTACTTCAAGTAAAGAGTTGCTCTCATCTTTGGCTGCACAGGTTTCAGAGTTATAAAATCAGAATTGCTTGGTATCGTTCTTCTCTTCACTCAGATGACTCTAAAGCTGACATTTTGGCTGCAGCTGTAGTCTTTGGTGCTGAATCAGAGTAAGACATCTGGTGTGTTTCCACCTTTTACCTGACCCATTATTCATATTTGTGCACCACAAAGCTCATTCAGGCTTTTAAACATGGTATGTAGATGTGTAAAATATTGATGCAATGCTATGATATTCAGTATTGTTTTATTTCATCAGTGTTGTATGTTTGTTAAATATATCTTGAAGACGTAAAGGAATTTTAGATATTTGAAAAAGGTAAGGTAGCTGGAAGACCTGACCAATAAAAATGAATGTAAAATAAATCAGAAAGGTTTTTGGTCTTATTCAAATGGAATGGAATTAATATGTCAGTACACTTATACTTAATATTTGCTCAAAATTAAAAGAACCCTGTGCAGTACTATTAGTTCTGTGGAGCAATGTTTTAGATGTTTTCACACAAAGGCAGGGACACCGCTGATCAACAGCTGGTGGCTATAAAGTGCAAAGAAATGTAGCAAAGCACCCAAGAAGGCAGTGAAGAAGACTGCTGGCAAGGAAAAATGGATGTAAACCAAGCGGTAACCCTTGTGGCTGAAACCAACACAGAGGTAAAAAAACCTACAGTTCCTCTAACGGCCACTAGAGGCTGGCTCCAGAAGTGAGTCTATCTCCATAAGGCCCCATATTAAAAGGCCCAACTTCACAGCACAAATCAACACATTTACAGCCTGGTACAAAAATTTGTTTTGGTCTCTGGGGCTACACTAATGAAAACATATCTATGAATATTACATTTCTGCCAAATGTTACACACTGGACCTTTAACTTCCTCCAAAAGACCCCTAAATCTTTAAAAATCTCCAATGCAGAGGAATGAGGATGACATTAAATACACAGTGTAACGCTTCCTGGTCATAACCTGCAACATGCTGTTCAGTATTAGCTGAGCTGAATGGAATCTGCTGTGCTAAAGCAATAAGACATCTGATCCACAGTGCCTGCATTGATTTGGTGTCTGGTCTTGGATGAAGGCCCCAACTGTTGTGCAGAAACATGCAGGTTCAACTTATTCATTGTCTTCATGAATGAGTAGGTGTCCCAGAGGACTGGAATCTATTCTAACATGCCCTAGAAACACCCTGGACAGGTTTACAGGTCACCACAGGCTGAATACACCAAACCGGATCAGAATGCCTGTGGGAGAGCATTCAGACAAGGACTGGAAATCGAACACAGAACCTTTTTTTCCATGTGTGCTGTGTTTTCAGAGCATGAACTCCAGGCAGCTGCAGTCGCAACGTGTTACGCACATTGTGAAAATAAAACCATCATCTGAGGACAGTGGAGAGCGGTCAACAACCTCTCTGAACAGCGTGACAGGTGTCCTGCAGTCCGATATAGCCCAACAATATTTATCCACATTGACCAGCTGACCCAACAGGCATTAACAAATGAACCTGAATGAAATTGGAGTAGTCAGATTAGTCCTTTTATTGAAAGTGTGACACGATAAACACTTTCCAATATTATTCACCAGTATGTTACTGACATCTTTTCTTTGAAATGTGAGTTTCACAGGCTCTTGCATCCAGAGGAGTTGTTGTTGAAAAGCAATACTTGCATACCAGCCTTTATTTTGACCTGTGACCTCCAAGTTCTTGCTACAACAAAGGCAGTTTTTCATCAGCCTCCACGAGGACATTTCAGCAGCAGAGAGCGGGCTTTCAGCGGAAGAGCAGGAGATCTCTGTCACTGCGTGGCCACAGAGGGAAGGCCTGGCTGCGTAGCTGCTGCCAGGCCTGCTGGTACGACTGAGACGCCTGCTTGTAGTCCCAGTAAGTCTGCAGCTCTGTTCTCCTGAACAAATACAAAAAAGCATGAGTGGTCAAAGTCTGCTCGCAATTTTACGTGATCAGGTATCTAAAAATGTAAAAATAACTTTTGTCATATTTGATGAAACGTTCACTATATCCTGACAGTAGTACATGAGCTACATGCAGCTTTAAACCAATCTCCCTGCTGTAATAAATACACTCATTTAAATAACGCAAAACATGTGTCATATGTGTTACATAGGAGCTTAAGACACAATATAATACAATATAATAATTCATTATAATAAGAAATAATATTCACTTATACTGGACTTCTTCTAGATTGCACAAGGCTAAGTAAGCATAAAAGTGAAGCTCCGTATTTCCCAGGTGTCTGTGTTTTGGAAGATCCCTCCACTCTAAAAGATCGAATTCCATCAGTGCTCTCTGAATGGATACAAGCAGCCATTATGCCAGACAGGAGAGTGCTTCTACGGCAATGGAAGTCAGTTTTTAAGCCAAACCTTTTCTTTTTTTGTGAGACTTTCAAATTTAACACTATACAAGCTGTTAGTTTATTTTTCATTTAATTTGATTCGTTATATTTTAATTGTATTATTGCTACTACTCGGCAAAACCCATGAAGACCAAAAACAACAATAGTATTGTACTGTGTGTGTATCCAAAGCCTGATATATGTGTCTTCTTCCTCTGTGCAATGGAGCTCCACTGTTGTCCAAAAACTATTAAAAAGACCTATTCCTGAGGTGTTTTTGAAGGTTTATAGTGGGACTGGAGTTGAGTGCCACAGATATGGGAGGGAAGTCAGGAAGTATTGTGACACTAACACAATGTTGGTGCATAATGTTCACTGGCAATTTATGTAAAGTATGTTCACTTAGTTACAGGTTTTGTTTTCTACGTTTATTTTTGCTCATTAACTTTATGTACAGTGGTTTGTAAGAAAAATCAAATACATCTAAAATCCCCTCAATTCGTCAAGTCCCAATGTCTGCTGTGAAAAAGGCCAACTGTTACAAGATCAGCATGTGCCAACCCACAATCAAGTTACTTGAGTCATTGCATTAGGAATAAATCTTGTGTTTGGCTCTCAAGCGGCCAACTGCTTCATTTCATTATGTATGTCCCGTCAGACACAAATGGACACTCCCTGATACCTCGGTTGTCTCTCCTCACCAGACATACCACTGTTGTTGCAGATAATGTTGTCATTGTATGCTGGGGCTGGTTGAGTGTGTGTAAGTGTGTGTGTGGTTCTGTTGACCCATGGTGGGCCGGGCCGGACTGGGCTGGGATCAGGTTATCTGCTAAAGAGCTGATAAACAAGAGGGACCACTGTTCTCCCTTCGGAGAGGATTCTCAGCCATCAGCACACACACGCACACACACACACACACACACACACACACACACACACACACACACACACACACACACACGAAGCATGTGAATGGCTGAAATGTGAGCACTAAATGTCACATACAGAGACACACAGTGAAAGCCACAGCACATACATATATCAGATGTGTCGTATCGGTGTGTATGTTTTCTGGAATGCACTGATATTAAACCTTTTTAACAGAACATAAAATGCAGAAAACAATGCATGGTAGAGTTGTTCCAATACTGATACAGTATGGGATATTCCTCTGATACTGCCTAAAATGCAGAATCAGGTATTCGCCAAGTATGTGTGTCTGTGCACCAATCCAATACCACGTAACTTATTAGCCCTTAAAAGGCATTGTCAAGTTAGCGCCCTACTCTGACTGACAAGTGTTTAACTTGCACCAGGCCATACAACAATGAGAGCAATTAAACTGTCTTAGTAGTATATGCTTGTTAAAAAATAATAATATATCTATATACTGTATGCCCACTAAAAGACAGTTTTCTCTCTCAAAAATTCCATATTAGTGGGGCTGTAGCTCACGCACACACACACACACACACACACACACACACACACACACACGCACACACATATTTGTTGTGTAATCTCGGCAAGCTATGTGACACCCTATACCCTTTGGAGAGAAATACCTGGGATCCTAAATCATGAGTTGTAAACAAAAGCAAAATGTCACACAGTATCAGCAGCAGTGCCGACACTCTGGTCTCAGAGTTCATTATGAAATAAAGAAGCATTACTCTGTGTTCACTTTTATCCAGATAGAACTGTGGGTACTTCACCCGTTCATTAAATGAGTTCAGCTTGAGGGAAAATATCTATTGTTTCCTTTATTAGCCATTGCACTTTATAATGCTGTAACTTGAGATGACTGTGACACATCCACATTTGCTTATTGCTGTTGGTTAGCGTGCCTCACTGTGCATGCCACATGCTGCAGCAGCAGATGATATGAATTACCTAAAAGGACAACTTGATGAAAGCCAGACCATTTGTGAGACCTTCATTAGTGTTTTTGGGTTGTTTAGATTTTATTTGAGGCTGTTTAAAACCACTGAGAGATGAATAAAGACCCTATTGTTTGTTACCTGAGAGAGTCAGGAAGTGCTGAAGGGTCAGTGGCTGATGCCAGAGACAAGAAGGAATGGAAAAGCTCCAGTTTACACAGAAGAGACCTGAAGACACAAATATGCAGAAATATGATTTAGTCCACATGAATATCCTACATTGCTGAAACACAGTAAAACAGTGAATTCTCATTTATATTCTAACTGTATGCTGGGGGAGTGTTTGCACTACCTGGCTTTAGCTGTGCCGAGGGCCTTCTTTGTGACTCCATGTTTGTAGCCGTTGGCAGTGACATCTAGTGGCTGCTCAGTCACATTACACCAGCTGATGGCTGATGGACATGTAAATTGTATTTATTAGAGACACTCAACAAAACTAGAGGCTCAACAAAACACACACACACACACACACACACACACACACACACACACACACACACACACACACACACACACACACACACAAAGGACACACATTACTGACCTCACCCACAGCTGTACATTGCTTAGCTTCTGTGCAGGTACGATTTGTTTGTGAAAGTTGTTTCTCTATATTTGGACGTTTTCTATTGTTTGAAAATGTACATGCACCACTCAGTTTCTTTACAAATGTATTTAAATGTCTTGTAAACCCATGCAGGCTGGGCACAGATGAATGCATGACACAGTAATAAAAATGTAATCCATTCATTCATTCAGCAGGACCCAGAAACTGAAGCAGCTAAATGGAATGTATGTGTGAATGTATTGTGTACGGCTGACTGGGACACGTGAACAGAACAGAGCCATCGGTAATGTTATTAATAACAGCTGTGCTTTCCCTACTGCGACGCCTCAACATGTCTTCCAGTAAAAAAAAGGCCTATAAAAGAGCCCTCACACACTAATGCAGTTGTTTTCACTTATGTTGGCTGATTAGACCTTCACTCAGGACTGTGTGGCAGGACACATACTGAGGTTGATTGACACCTTAGTGCTCAATTCTGACTTACTGCTCACATCACATTTTTTTATTTGGCTGTTCATGTGATTTTTTAAATGTGGGCCATATCAGATTCCAGTATGAACAGGTCACAGTCCTGAAGTGGCCTTCATGACGAATATTGATCTAGAGTAACACATGCCATATAAATTCTGATATGACGGGTCACACAGCACAAAATCAGACCTGTATCTGATTTGGACCACATATGAAATTGGCCAGAATCAGGATGGAAAGGATCAGATTCCATGTGATCTGTGATGTTCACACTGCTATGAAATTGTGTGTGAGGATCCTACCTGCCCCACAGGGGGAGATACGTCCCTGTCCGGTCTGGTGTCGGAGCTCAGTCTGGCCCTGGCTGAAGGGGAACTCCAGGCTGGACTGGAGCAACACAGGTGGGCACACAGAGAACCCAGCAGGGAGGTCCGATACACAGAAGCACCTGGGGAGCACAGGAGGACCACAAGAGAGTCTGCTGATTCCCTCACACTGGAGGAAAAAATACTTCCAAAATACATTTAACACTGTTGTTATTCAACTGCGTTATTCTATACATTAATATATGTAACACTAGCCAGTGACAGTTTTAAATAGATGTGCTGTCATTTAGGAGGAAAGTGTTTTATAAAAGATGATGCTGTTTGCAGCGGGATGATAGGAGGCTCTAGAGCTGCATAGGGATAATCATAATCATCTATAGTTGTAATATTACTTTTTTATATTTTCCACTGTATTCACATCGTCTAAGATGAAAAGAAGAATACAGCTTTGGTTTTTAGTCACTCTATACCATATCTTTGTACAATACATGCACTTCTTCACAATAAAATGCCTTGTTCCCAGCAGCACACACAGAGTTTAATTAGTTATTTATGCATCACACATTCTGATGAAGAGCCCACACACAGCTCTCTCATAGAGGATAATTGACTTTGCAGAACAGGAGAAGCACAGGCATGACGACATTAATGCTGGGTCTGTTTCATGAGCATTATCAGCGAGCCATTGTGCATAATACAACGGTGTAATTGTCTGTACATGACAAGCCAAAAATGCTTGCTGTAAAAAAGGTCTCTAGTGAGAAGGAGCAATTCAGAAGAAATAGGAGCGTGAAATACAGGACAATAGCTGGCCCTAGTGAGGAGAACAGTGGGGACGAATTAAATCATTCTGGGTTAATTAATAGCTGGATAGTTCTTTTAATGAAAATAATATGTCAAATGACTGAATGTAATGTGGAAGGTGTTGCTCAGGGACCCACAGACCTGACTCTGCAGATCCCCTTACCTCTATGGATCTTTTTTAGCATCATTAGCTCATTGTTTTGGCTTTCCAATCAGCAAATCTCCTGCCACCAATGGGCAGCTGTTTTGAGCTAAAAACAATCCAGCATCAAACAGCAAACAAAGTTATGGACTAGCTGCGGAAGAAAGTTGAACTTTTAGCAGCTAAAGAACCAGACGTTTTACTGGAGACCAGAACAGAGGTCTAATGTGGCTTCTGGATTAGCAACTGTTTGCCAATGCGTTCACCAGAACAACCTTGCACAGTCAAAATGTTGTTTAGCTTGTTCCACAGTACCAAAGCAGTAAAAACATCTATCAATGCAACGTTAAACATAGACTCTTTGAGTAGAATATTCTTTCACCTCTGGCAGGGTTGGTGCAGGTTTCGACAGGTTCAATTTAAGACTTTTTAAGACTATTATAAAAGTAATTTAAGAGCTATATTACCTCCAAACTGGCAAAAAAAAAGTTCAAAGAATATGAAGGAAAGTCAGTGTTTCATTTTGTAATTGTTACAGCATGATCAATACAGATCTTTCCCCAAAACACATTTAAAAGTGAGACTGAAAAATGCAACTTAAGTAACGCTAACATCTGAAGACACTTAAAGGCCTAAGATTTTAGGCTTTTTAAGACCCTGGGACACCCTGCCTGCTCGTTAAAAACACTTCTGACTACTGTTTTTCATATTTTCATACAACTAACAAGATGAGCTATAAATGGTTCTTCTTCCTACTTTCAGAAAACTTTTACAAGTTTCTAATCAAGACGAACATGGATTCATTGTTTGTCTATGTCAGGTCAAAGGTGGAGTTATCACAGTGCTTATTAATTGGCTTCAGCATTACTCCTCACCTTGTGACCAGAGATCTGTGCATAACTTCTTGGCTATATGGACACTTCCCCACAACCACCGTGCTGAAGTACAGCGCCTCCTGTAGGTAGTGGGACAGCAGTGCACCCTGGAAGCCCAGCACCCCCCAGCGGGCCAGCTTATCACTGCAGGAGAGGGACAGAGTCGGCTCTCCTCGCCCAGGCTTTACCCGGAGCAGCCCCGTGCTGTGGTACCCCACCCCGGGATGTAGAGAGTCAGCCAGGCCACCCGGGACACACTTGGCCCCCGTTCTGTGAATGTCTGGGACCTGTGGATGCAGTCCAGGACTATCAGAGGAGACAGTTTCCACACGCGTTTCTGTGGAGTGACTCTGTGATGGAGCTTCGGTTTTAGATGAATCTGGCAGGAAGGATTGTTTCGGTTCTCCTCTGTCCTCGAGCTGTGTCTCTGCTGTCTCCTGTTCCTCCACACGGGGCAGTTTAGTGTTTTTCCCATCACTTGGTTCCTCTGCTTTCCTTTTCAGGTTTCCTCCTCCATTAGTCCCATTATAGGCCTTTACAGATGTGACAGGAGGGCAGGGCTGAGACTGGCTGTCAGTCATGGGGATGATGGAGGCGTCACCACCTGGTAATACACAAATTTTAGACTGTTTTTGTTTTCCTGGACAAAGCACTGGCCTGTGGACAGAGTTGAGCTATAGATTTTTGAAGGCATCACAAACAAAATATATGCCTTAAATAAATGTATCTAAATTGCAATACATAAGTACGGGACACAATATATAGCTCTACACCCTGTGGCTCAGCCCACACAACCTGCTGATGGTCATATTAACAGCACACTGGAAGCATACTTGACTCACAGGGAGTGTGACTGGTAAAAAAGAGGAAGGAAACACCCGGCCGAAGCTTCCATTTCCCTCGCTGATCTGCCTGACAAAACACCGAGCTGTCCCCACCACTCACGGCCGTGTGCAGCTCCTGGATCAGGTACCTACAAATTCACACACACACAAAGTGGCTTACACTCATACTGAAGGCTCAGCACAGAGCACCAGTGCCAACAAGCTACTATGAACACATGGAACTGAATACAAATACACACCTGATACATCCCCGTCTGGCAATGACTTCTGCGTGGCTGTCATTAAGCACATCACCTAAAATGGATGAAAGAATCAAATCAAACGTATTGGTATACGGGTTGACAGGCATTATCTTAATTAATGATTTTTACACTTTTACAGGCTGTCATGGATGTATTCAAACACTGACTTTCATCTACAGAAGATATTTTTCCAATACGACACATAAATGCACCATTTCAATCCATGTTTAAATCTGAGCCTCACACAGACTATTGGATCATCAAAATGACTTAGCATTTGGCTGATTTATTTGGTTGGGCTGCCAAATCAAACTTTCTGTATGGAAGACAGAGACACTGAGTATTTGCCACATAGAGAAGACCACACACCATTGGGACTCATAGCTGTGCTTCCAATACATTTGGTCCCAGTTCCCAGGGAAACAACCTCCTTTTCAACTGTGAAAGAGGAAAAAACACATCTCTTTAGAACATCATTTATCACTTAATTTGTCCTTATATTCTTCTTCAACACATTTTCATATCCTATTTTATGGCTGTTGGTTTCCCAAACTGGGGGTCCACTAAGGGTCACCACAGCTTGAGGAGTGCGAGAAAACCTTTTTCAATACAATAATAATAGCCTATATGTCAGCATTTTGTTCATTTTTGTTATGAAAACTAAATTAAATTGTTATTTTTGAGGTTTGGATTATTATTTAAGAAACCTGGGGGTCGGGGCCCCCACTGGGGGTCGCCAAAGCATCATGGGGGGGTTGCATGGCCTTCTTGATTTTAAGGTATAAGAAAATTTAAAAACATATAAAGGCTTATATCTCAGCATTTTTTTTCACTGTGAAGAAATGTAAAATAAATAGTCTAATAGAACAATGGCCAAACGTCAGTGACAAGAAAACACTGAATTTGTCCAAAAAGAAGCCTAATAAGTCTGTATGATTGTTACAAATAGTAAACAATACATCATACAGACAGAGAATTGTATAAAAAGTTCCCTAAAAGCAAATAATCTGTTGGGGTTCATTGTACAGTTTAAATATAATATGAAATATCCATAAAATATGGCACTGAGTCAGTGGTCGGTATAGAAAATGAAGTCTCCTTAATCTTTTATTTTTGACATTCAGTTTTGTTCTGTGCAGTCTAGGTACACATCCTGAAATACAGTGCAGCTTATTGTTACTTTTACTTATCAGCTAACAGATAACTACATTAGAGTTAGCTGAAAGTTAACTCGCTGTTATGTTAAATACAGTGCTCGACACATTCTTCAAAAAGCTGGTTTCTTTCCTGTGATAGGACATTGTTGACAGGCAGACATTACAATACGTTGTAGCGTCGTTAATTCGGCTGTCCAACCTGTGTCAGAGTCAGCACATCGGGTGCTTTTCACCACAGCGGCCAGCAGGGTCCACTCTCTGCCCGGCTCAGGCTTCCCTCTCCGGGGAAGTTGGTTGAAACGGTCGTAGCACAATCTGGCGATTTCATCCGCGTTCACCATGTTAAACCGGGCAGGGACGTGTGAGTGGAGGCTGACGGGCATTACAAATATTATTTAAGCTAACGGTAAATATATATATATTACAGTCACGGTGTCACATAAAGAATAAATAAACAATACTTTGGTTAGCTAACGTTAGTGTCCTGCACCGCTGCTCGAAGGTATCTCGAGAAACCGAAGAAGTTACTTCCGGGCTGAGCCAGGGAATGCCTTCCTTTCACAATAAAGGTCCTTAATGTATAGAAAACTGAAATTCTTTTTAATACCGTATTACTTATTTACTATACTACTAATTGTAGCTTTTTAGTAGGTATTACATTAGTTTAATCGATTATGGAATATAAAGTAGAATAAAAAAGATGGTCATCATTCATCAATCATTGTCATTGGCCCATCTACCAGTTCATTAAAACATTTGAAGTACACTACAGTGACTGCACTGCAAGTGTACCTCAAATAATAAAATACCATTCACACATTTAAGAAAACACCTTAAGAAAGCAAGACAAATACAGATTAAAACGCCATTAAAAAAACTTTATACTGTATCCTTTTGCATTTGGAACTTCAGTAGGTGTTACTCAGTCTGGTGAAGAATGGCACCCTCAGTGTAATATTTGTTATATTATTATTAATGTGTTATAATTACTTTATTAATGAGTCAAAATATAAAATAATTGTATATACTATTGGTTAGTTTAATGACATCATATAAGCTTATCTTATATTTTATGTATTTAAAACCTTAATAATAATAACTAACTGTCTAATATATAGAAATATTGTGAATTATGAAGCAGAATAAAATTATTCAAATACAGTGCAAGGAAGTCATTTTTTAGCATGATACTGGAGTAAATGTGCATTCTCCACAGATTTGGTATTTGTAGTACAATGTGTGGTTGTGGTGGTAGTTGTTTGTTATTTGGTTAATGGATGACACACAGCAAAGGGCCACAGGTCAGATTAAAACCCATGGCTGCTGCAGCAAGGACTCAGCCTTGGTACATGGGGTGAGGCGAGGAGCCTGTACAGAGCCCAGAGGATACTAAGAGACAGCACCCACCCAGCCACAGCCTGCTGAAGCTTTCACTGCTGTACCTCCAGACTTATAGACAGCTTCTTCCCTCTGACTATTAAATTCATCCTCAGCACTTCATAATGAGAAATGGTATTTTTTATATGACCTATTAATCAGTTTTTATTTGGTTTTACCAGTAGCACAAAGGTGAAAAGAATTCTAATCAGAATTTCATTATAAAACCCTGTGTTGTAAATGACAATAAAATATCCTTGAATCCTTGTTGTTGTTTATATAAACCCTGTATATGTCATGTCAAACAGTCAAACAGCTCAAGATTGAAATCTCATTTATTTTAGTTATGTACAGGAGGAAAATGCTGAATTTCACAAGTAACAGAAAAATAAAAAATAAAATCACATCTCTCTAGCCTCTGTAACAGAGGTGCACTAGTTCATGATAACATCTCTCTCTCTTCGTCTCTCTCTCTTTCTCTCTCTCTCCTTTAAAATGTTAAAATGTATTTCTCTCTGGTAGATATGTTATACTGCATTTGCGGGTAGCTGTGCTGTTGTTGTGGGTCAACATTAAAACGATCCTGCTGTCTGGTTTTGGTGCGTTTCTAAGCAGTGATTAGAGGTGTGTGTGTGTGGGGAGGGGGGGGGACTCTAGGTCAAATATAATTCTCTGTATGTGCCATCCTGTCAAACCCACATAGACATACACACCATTTATATGCATATACACAATGGCCTTAATGTGAGCAACCGCACGCACATACACACAAGTAAGCACGCACACTCTTCCTCTATGTTCTTGTGTCTCCCAGCTCTGACTTTAACCTATGATTCAGTTCACAAACATGATCCTCCCCCCAGGTGAGGGGCTATTATGAAAGGTGATTTTTCAGCCCTGTGATTAAACAAATGCAAAATAATAATATTAATAACAAAAACAATCCCGTTGAATTAAGTCTTCTCCTTTAGTTTCCCGCGTCACTCCTGTCCAAATCCCTCCGTTTCCTCGATGGCAAAGAGGAGCTTTTCCCGGAGCTGCTCCAGGCTTCTGTAGGGCGGCAGATCCAGACGATTGAAGCTGTGAGGGACAGACAACAAGGAAGAGACAGACAGTCATTACTCTTTAGCCTCATTTCCACTGCACGGTACGACTGCACTCACTTTGAGTAGCAGATATTTGCCTCCATTTTATTTTCCACTGCCATAGTGCCCCCTCAATGTAGGACGGGATTCTTAGCTGATCGTCATAGTGACGCTGCCGTGAAACTGCTGCTTCAAAGCGACACATACTCAGGAGGAAGCTGGATGGAAGTGTTTTCACTCCGCCTTTCAGTATCAGTTCAACTGGCTTGGAACCTCGACTGAGGTGATACCAAAACAAGAACCAGGTACTACCCGCAACTTTTGCACATGGTTAATAAATAAAAATAAATAAAGTTATAATCTTCAAGATTTTCATTAAATCACACCCGTTTTTGATACTATTTACTGTAGCTGCTTTTCTACGTTGGCTTGTATTAACATCCTGTAATTACTTGCAGTAGTAGTTTTAATTGTTAGTGGCGGAGACCGCCATTCAAGCACTGAATTTAAATGACCTACCTAAACACAAGGGATTCACAGGAAACGACGCAGCATGTACTCCAATGTTACTGGCTGTAAATTGATGTCATTAATATAAGCTTCACCGTTTATTGTTCACTCTCCTGCAGCCATATCAGAGATGGATTTGCTCTGAAATCAATACAGCTCTACAGATACTCTTGCACTACTGAGACTTTTTTGGAATATTGGCAAAGGAAACAAAAAAAGCTACCAGGCATTTGAAACGGTCAGTCAAACATAACAGCTCTGTGGTGTGATCATTTCCTATTGGAGTAGGCTTAACAGATACACAAATGTTTACTATTTGAACACTGAAGTCTGTGCTTGACCTTTGCGAAGAATATGTGTAACAAAATAATCTAAGCTTCCTCTTGTCTTAAACAACAGAAAAGCCTGGGTCTTGTGGTTTTACCATGTTAACGGATGAGGGAGCAACTTACCATGTGTGGCTTCTTGGAAGCCAAGTCTCCTTCCCCACCTTGTCTATGCAGAACTTCTGGGGACCGTTACTTCCTGAGGGGGTAAAAGAGAAAAGACTCTTGTTAAGCTATTTCACCAAATATCAGCTTGATTATATTGTATTAACACTGTCTTAGAAAAGCATGTTTCTTAAGATTTGTTGTGCTGATTTTAACCATGAATGTCAACACTATAAATTATCATATACAAGCCAGGATTCAAATAATGGGTAAAATAAACATTATAGAGGGGGTGTAATTACCTGCAGCCTACTACTGTACAACTAGTCACATGGTAAATTCAGTATAATGTACTTCTCCACAGCACTAATTCCAACAGTACAAAACAGTCATGTTTTACTCACCACTTTGCTGCTCTGACTTTCTCTTTTAAACAGAAATACACGTTTCATACACCTATTTTCCACTTTCCCCTTTTTCTGAGCGATGCAAATGTGTTGCCAATGAAACATAATGTCGGTTTTTTCACATTAAATGCCTTTAGGACCAATAATGGGAAGACTGGGGACTGGGATACATTTAATGAGAAAAATCCGCTGTGAGGGCTGAGTTGTATTCTCAGTAGGCAAACAGGGATCGGTAAAAAGTGACAGGACTGGAATTAGTTAGTGAATGAAAACATTTCTGTTAGAGAAGAGAAACAGAGCAGCAGCGTGGTGAGTTTGACTGATGCTGTACTGATTGATACTGTTACTTTGGGAGTATGATGATTTATAGTTCCCTGGGAAAAATGGAATCTCAACAAATATACAGAATTCATTAAAAAATTAAGACAATATGATCCTTCACAAAATTCTTCTAAAGAACAGTGAGTGAATCAGTGTTACCTATGAGCTCAGCGAAGCCTCCCACAGGCAGCCGACAGGTTCCTGTTACAAACTGAAGCAGACGGATTCTCTTCTCGTTGTCCATCTCTTTCACCACCTGCAGGAACACAACTCCATCATTGACTGCACACACTCACATCAGTGCCTATTAGTGTTCATCCAAATCCAAATGTACGCATAAATCATCCCACATGGATATTTCACTCCACCTCTACCGGTCCCTGTAGGCTATATTGCCTTTTAAATTATGCCTAAAAGAGCTTTCCAGGTAATTTCTTTGTTCTGCATTGTATTGATTTACGATAATAAATTGCCTTCAGTAATTTTAAAGGTTTATATGTGCACAGTAATGTCACTGCAGCAAACATCATGGGACATTTAAGCTGCAAAAGTAAAAACTGTATAAACTTGACAGGACAGAGGAAACGGAGGATTCATCAGGAGGACGGCAATTCCACTGTATAAACACTGGAATGCACATACTTTATCATAGCAGGTGTGTGTGTGTGTGTGTGTGTGTGTGTGTGTGTGTGTGTGTGTGAACCACAGTGTGTCTGTCCGTACCTGCCAGAACCAGTGGATCTGCTTGCTGTTCTTGGTGTAATGTCTATAGATTGTGTTCTTCTGCCAGTCGGCCAAATCGATCTCCTGCATCCCACACAGCATCAGCTGCAACAAGCAAAACCATAGTTAGTCCGGTGTGCACAGCTGTGTGTCCTTTATTCTTTATATTTGCTTGTGTGACTCATCAGTGGGCAGAGGACAACACGGGACAGGACAGTGAGTCACAGCGTGTCCCATCTCAACCTCAGACTAATTTAATTCACTGTCTCCGTCAGAGTGTCTGCTGGGACGTGGGCTCATTTAGATGAAAGCTCAGCTGCAGGAGTCAAGGAGAAACTGTTCATAAATCAGGGTCAGGAGTCATTTACAAACTGAACCACGGCTGGGACTCACAACAACCTCCTTTCAGTTCATCCTGTTCAGGAGCACATTGTTTCCAGCATTTAAAGCTTGGAAAATATTTGATAGTAAGAGCTTAACTGATAAAAAGAAAACCTAAAGCTCATAAACTTGCTTTTATCTAATAACTTTTTCTGTATTTTACCTCATCCACTGATTGTATTTACTGTTAATATCCCTTGGAATCTTTAATTTCTTTTTCTCTTTTAAGAAATGATTTCTGCTTTGTTTTTAATGTTCCAACTGACCCTTCCTGAGTCAGTAAGATCAGTTTCTC